GTCAGGCCTTTTATTATATTTGCATGTATGTTTTTCAGGGATGTTTCAAATAATCGTTTTACAGGTTGGATCCCTAGCCAGTTCAACAGCATTAATCTACAGTAAGCATTTGCTATTTGCAGCATTAAGGAATTTTTCATTATTATCCTATTTTTTCATAATAAAGAAGTTTTTACAAATTAGAATCTGAATAATCTTAACAGGAAGGATGGTAACAATTGGAACTCAGGACCTGCACCCCCTCCTCCACCTGGTACACCTCCAGCCCACAAAGGCCCAAGTCATAAATCTGGTGGCAAGGACAGCCCATCAGGCAGTGGTGCTAGTGGTGGCAGCAAGAAATCAGGAATAGGGGGTGGTGGCATAGCTGGAATAATCATATCCATATTTGTTGTTGGGGGGATAGTAGCTTTCTTTTTGGTGAAGAGAAGATCCAGGAGGTCCTCCTCAGATATAGAAAAGCTTGATAATCAGCCACTTGCTCCTCTTTCTTCGACTTACGATGTACCAGGTAGAACCTTTTTTTTTTTCACCAGCACCTTTCTTTCTGTTCAGCATCATGGATGAATCATCCGTATCGTTGGCATCATTTTGCCTTTTTTCACTACTGCATTAGATTGCTTAATGGGCTTTATTGTTTGTTACTTTCCAAACTGGAAGTAAGGAGGATGGCTTTGCTATTTATCCACCAATAGCTATGATTTATTAGAATGCTTTGCAATCTATTCACTTTCATTGCTGATAATTTGACAGAATTAGAACTCAAAATTTGAAACATCAGGGGCTGGGGAATATATTTTAATTGTCTAGGAATGAGTATCTCAAATGCATAGTTAAAACACTTTCAAATTAAATTGTCCCTTTTCTTTTATCAGGCAAGACATTCTCTAGTGAAAACCTTAGCCTATCTGATTTGGGGCATGACACAACCCTGTGGTTAGCTCCAAACAGACTTTGTTGACTTGAAAACTTTGACTCCATAGATTAATAAAAGCAGTACCATGTAGAACTTCACTACTTCAGTGTGGCTTTAGGTCCATGTCTTTAGCTTCTTGATTTCAAAAACCATCATGCTGGACATTTTTCTTCATCTTTCCCCTTGCTTTCTCTTGATTTGACCTTTCTCTTGCTATCTTGTCTTTGAAATTGTATTGCAGAAATGAAGTCTATTCAACCTTCCTCCACAGTCAACACAAAGATATTTGACACCTCAGCCTCAATAAATCTTAGACCCCCACCTATTGATCCTCACAAGTCATTTGACGAGGAGGAATTTTCACCAAAGCCTGTTGTTGTCAAGAAACCTGTTGCCGCTCCTATAAACGTGGCATCATACTCTGTAGCAGATCTGCAGATGGCCACTGGCAGCTTCAGCGTCGACCATCTTCTTGGTGAGGGGTCATTTGGACGTGTTTATCGAGCTGAGTTTGATGATGGGAAGGTATACTTTTCTCACCTTTCAAATCAATTTGGCTGTGTCAGTTAAAAAGGATTTAGAAAAAAGTCTTCTTGGACATGTCCTGCCCCCTTTTCATACTTTATGCTGGGCATTCCATTCTCTATTATGAATAACGTACCCACTGATAATTATTGTAGTTGTGGAAAGATGTGTAACGGTGTGGGTAGAGTGATGGCAGGTGTTCATATAGGAAGAAATTTTGTTCATATGTTACCTTCAGAAAGTTTCTTTCACTCGCATGCTCTCCCTCTATCTTATTAAGTTGTAACATACTTCGACAACACTGTAGGTTGTTGCTGTGAAGAAACTAGCTTCAGCCACTCTGCCCAGTGATATTTCTGATGATTTTACAGAAATTGTTTCAAGTATTTCCCTGTTGCATCATCCGAACGTGACAGAACTAGTGGGTTATTGTTCAGAGCATGGACAGCATCTGCTGGTCTATGAGTTCCATAAAAATGGCTCACTGCATGACTTTCTGCATCTATCAGATGAATACAGCAAACCTTTGATATGGAATTCTCGTGTCAAGATAGCTCTGGGGACTGCTAGGGCATTAGAGTAAGTTCACAGCATTTATACGCTCACAAAAAGAATTCTATAGTTCCAATTGTTTCATACTAGCATGAAGTTTTGCCAAGATCAGAACGCCTCTATTCTCTCCCCATTATTTTTCATTACCTCAATGGTTCAAATATTGGAGTATGGAAGGACTTGATCGATGCCACTTGAATGATTCAATAAAAAAACAATACTAATAATAATAATTAATAACTATTTGGCTCCATGGTATTAGTATTATTAATAGAAATCATATAAAACTTTCGAGGAGACTTGCATCAAGGGTTAAACCTGGTGAGCTTTTTATCAATTTATTTTCTGAGCACCTTACCATATGAAGGAGTTGCTTTGTTATAATCATTCCCACTCCATGTGACCAGTCCTTGCTCTTTTTAAGATACAGGATGCCCAGATTTTTGTTAAAGAATTTTGATATTGGAATTTAGAACTTCGCCTAATGATTGGAAAAGCATCCAAACTTTGCAACTGAGATCTTCATAAATCGTAGTTGTTACTTATCTATGATATTATTGATGAACTTCCTAATACTGAAAGGGTTTTTTTCAGGTACCTGCATGAAGTTTGTTCACCATCTATCGTTCATAAAAATATCAAGTCTGCGAATATACTATTGGACACAGAGCTCAATCCACATATCTCAGACTCTGGCCTGGCAAGCTGTCTCCCTAATGCAGACCAGGTTGATCACGAGCATCCTTAAACTTTCCTGATAGTCCATTGCATCATATTTCTTTGATGTGGATTGTGAGGAATTAGGTTGCCTTTGAGATCTTCATCACTGTCTTCCTTAGCTTTTATGTTCGAAGTTTACTTGGCAAAGACTACTAATGTTTCCATTTGTCATAATTTGCTTGCGAGTTGGGTATTTAATTTCTGCGTATATAATCATCTCCAAGAGAAAACTTGGTTCCAAAATCCATGCTGTGGTAGTAGCATATTTTGAGATGGTGCAACATCTAGGATTTCTTGGTTTCTTACAGGATCTACTCGGTAAGAACTACCAACCAAAGCACAAGTGATCTACTTTGGAACCGTCCCCATGTCCTGAAATTTGTATGACTTTATCTGGTCCATTTGCAATCTGTATCCTTTTTATTTTGGAGAAAAGCTTCTAGTTCGTAAGTTGAAATCTGTATGACTTTATCTGGTCCATTTGCACCACTTTTTTAGTTTAGAGAATCTCTAATCATGCACAGCTATTTGCTTAAACTTTTTTTTTCTGAATCCTTTTTATTTTTCACCACACATGCAGGTATTGAACCAGAATGCAGGTTCTGGATACGGTGCACCTGAGGTAGCTATGTCTGGCCAACATACTCTAAAGAGTGATGTTTACAGTTTTGGTGTAGTCATGTTGGAGCTTCTTACTGGACGTAAACCATTTGACAGGTGAAATGATAACATAAGCGATGTGATGATCTCTCATTGCCACAATCATGTTGATTGTCTCGCTATTAACATAATTATAACTGAATAGAAATGAGTTAGCTGCTTATCATCTCATTGCAATGTGAATTGTATTAACAGCTCAAGGCCTAGATCTGAACAATCTTTGGTTCGCTGGGCAACTCCTCAGCTCCATGACATTGATGCTTTATCTAAAATGGTTGATCCAGAACTCAAAGGACTCTACCCTGTCAAATCTCTCTCCCGGTTTGCTGATGTTGTTGCTCTTTGTGTCCAGGTAATGTATAAATTGAAAGAGGGAACTTAGGTGGGGTTGGGTTGAGGGAAGGGGTTTTGAAGTTTGATAGCTTGGTATTGCAGTTTTTAAACTGAAACATAGAGATTGGAAGTTCAAATTGGCAGCTCGGCATGTTTTGGGCACATTGTAGTTCAAGAAGGGGAAAAGGGGGTGTGCCGTGGCTTGTATGAATTGTAGTTCTAATGCTTAGTATCATGGTTTTGTGGCAGCCTGAGCCAGAGTTTCGACCTCCTATGTCAGAAGTGGTTCAAGCATTGGTTCGTTTAGTGCAGAGAGCTAACATGAGCAAGAGAACAGTTGGAATCGAACAAGGAGAAACACCGAGAGCTGACAATCCAGATACACAAGACTATATGTCTTGAAGTTGCTGCCAAATCATTGATTTCTCGCATTGTTGTCTTTGATTGATAGCCGCCTTGCCTTGTCCTCGCTTCATTTTATTCTACTTTCAAGTTTATTCAAAATAGATTTGTAGTAGTTGAATGTTGGCTTAAACACATGATACGAGAATTAAAAGCTTAGTGGAAATGTTGAATGTTGGTACAGTATGTTAAAAATGACATGGTTTAGCCTAGTATTTTGTTTTCCGGGACTCTGCAATGTCTTCATGACAATTGATTATGGAATTCTGTATATGGTTAATTGGTTATACCGTTATACTTCTTTCTCTTACTAATTAAAAATGGTGGCCGTTATCAGAAAGAATAGTCACATGAGGTTTCACTGCTGGTCTATCCCAACAACTAGTTGGAGAGGCAAACCCCAAGAAAGATAGAAAGCCAGGTTATATCAATTAGTACCATGTTCAAATATCATGGCGACTAAAGGTACAAGGAAAAGCAGATGGTAAACAGCATTTGGTTACAGTGGAAAACTCAAAATTTTATCTATCAGGTTGTTGGTTTGATTAATGCCTCTCTGCTCAGTTTCCATAGTTCCATGTTTGGTACTTCGGTTGAAGGCACCAGCAATTTTAAAACATGACGTACACTAAACACTACAGAACACCATAAAGAACCACCAACCATTGAGGCATGAAACTTAACGTAACATGACTTGATGAAAGTATCGACTGCAAAAATTGGAAAAACTACAAAGCAAACAGAGGTCTACAAATATGCGGCAATTGAAACCCAAGCAAAAGGGGATTTTAGGAACACAAATTGAAGTCGATAAAGCAGCACGGGGTTGCCCTACTTGGAAAGATGTACAACCAGCATCAAATTTCTCTATCCAACATGAATAACCACCCACTCAATTGTACACCATATATTTCGGAGTTGCGCTGAACTTTTGGTATCCCTTAATCACTTTGTTTACTGCATCAAGGAAGTCCTTCTCTGTTACTGTCTTCCGCCGGGCTCGAATTGCAAACATTCCAGCTTCAGTACATACACTTCTAATGTCCGCTCCTGAAGAAATCCACATTGTAAATCATTGATTCAAAATAATCAAAATACACCAAGTTAACTAAGGTCTATGCATTGACAATGAAATGGAGAATGGGGCATCAGATACGTGGTATCTTTTGTCAAAGAAAGAACCATCCAAAGGTTATATTACTCTCTCTCTCTCTCTCTCTCTCACACACACACACACACACACACACACAAACACGATACAAAAGGTAGCACCATGGCTGAAACCTAAGATTTTTAACCAAATCTCCAATCTCTTGTCCCTGACAGAGCCCCAGGTGGTGTATTTCATACTGTTATCAGAGAATTATTTTTTCTGTATTAAGAATCAAAATACAAGCATAGCATAAATGCAGAATTTACCTGTTGAATTTGGGCAGAGCCGAGCCAAAAGCTCAAACCGGATATCCCTTTCACAGTTCATTGTTCGGGTATGGATCTTAAATATCTGTGCCCTACTCTCCAAATCTGGAAGGCCGAATTCAACCTTACGATCTAATCGTCCAGGACGTAACAATGCTGGATCTAGAGTGTCAGGCCTGAAATACAGAATGAACATATCCTATGCTTAGAAGTTTAAGACACACTGCAAGTTCAAAGCAACAATAGAAAACCAACAAATTGCTCAACGGAGCAGCAATTGAAGTAAACAGAACCAACATCCATGTTCAAACATACGCAGATACATTCCTATGACTTTCAACTTTCTGAATTTGACAGCTAAATTCTAGCACATGCGAATGCCAAGATGTTCAAAGCAAAGGAAAGCAAGCAATTAGTTGCAAACATGCAGGCAATTAAGAAATGACTGGTTCTATGTGAGAACAAAGGGCAAAATTAAGCAGCACCCCTGAACATAGTTACACCTTACAAAAGGAAATGGAAAGGAGCAAATGTGCCACAAAGATTTCATAAAACGGCAGCCATATAGTAAACAAATCTAACCTGTTTGTTGCCATAAGAACTTTGATGTTTCCACGGGCATCAAACCCATCAAGTTGATTAACAATTTCAAGCATTGTACGCTGAACTTCATTGTCTCCACCTACACCATCATCAAATCGTGCACCTCCTATGGCATCAATTTCATCAAAGAACACAATGCAAGCCTTCTTTGAACGTGCCATCTGCAGTGGGCAACATTTCATTTTTAAAAACATAAGAAGGCGGTGTAAATAATAAAGGGGAAAATCACCAAAATCCAGCAATTCTTAACCTGAAAAAGTTCGCGGACCATCCGGGCTCCCTCGCCTACATATTTTTGAACAAGCTCGCTTCCTATAACCCGAATGAAACAAGCATCAGTTCTATTAGCCACAGCTCTGGCTAAAAGTGTTTTACCAGTTCCAGGAGGACCATAGCAGAGAACACCCTTAGGAGGATCAATTCCAAGCTTTACAAATTTCTCAGGGTGTAGCATTGGCAGCTCGACAACCTACCAGTTCATTCGTATGAGTATGACATATAAAAGGAAAATGACAATTGAAAAGTAAATTAATCAATAACAAAAGAGAGAAAGAAATAAAGAAAGATTTACATACCTCTCGCATCCTTTCAATCTGCTCTTTACATCCACCAACATCATTATATGTCACATCTGGCTTCTCCTCTACTGTCATCATGGTCACACTTGGATCAATTTTGGGAGGCAGAGGAATCTGTATCTGATATTTGTTGCGATCGACCCTGCAACAATAGACATGGTAAATTACTTTGTTGCCAAACCAACTGAGAGTTAACAAATAATCCCCCAATATATCTAATGGATAAAGTTCAACTGGTAGAGGTGTTCCAAAAATGTCTGTGATAGAATAAATAGCTCTATGAACAAATGGCTTGGGTTGATATTGGATAATGTGAAGATACCACATAATATTAAAACAAAAGACAGCATAGGTATGGTCTAAAGTGCTTGCATACAGCCAAAGTCTTCTTATAGAATATAAGCCATGAGCCCACTAATCCATTACAAACATGTTAGCCCTCTTTAAAATAAAAAAATCACCGTTAAATTTAAATTGAGTGCATGGACGTAAAATTCTTAATAAGATTATATCCATTTATCAAATAAAGCTGGCGGTGGAAGAAATATTTATCAGGCAAACTCTTGAAATTACTATGTGAATCAATTTAAATAGTAAACATGCAGTTTAAATTGCAGAAATGGAACATTATAGATAGAAAATAATTTACTACTTCAGCAAATATTGTAAAAAAAGCAGATCAACAAAATAAAGGAAACCTACCCCACACGCATGCCTTCTTCTATATCAGTAGGGGAAACCTTGTCGCCCAGCCCAACAACAAACTGGAATGGGAAAAAAAGAATACATTAAATGAAAATATGATTGATTAGTTGTAGGTTAGGTTAAAAAAAAAAAAAGAAATCTAAAAAACATTTCATAAAAAACATGTGTAATAATTTTTGTGTGCATGTGTGTGTCTTGTTTGCAGGATTTGATTTTAGAAAACAAAAATCACTAGAGGGAAAAATTGACCAAAAGGATTGTCCTGAAGAATGCCTGTGCGAAAACATTCCAACAATGTCTCACGATTTGAAGTATACCTTGGCAATTTGCTTAACATTTATCACATATTTGGCATCTTCGGTGTTTGGACTTATTATCTTGGTGCACCTAGCAACCTGGTTAAGAAACAAAGTCAGTAAACTGAAAAACAGAAAGTGCAAATTACAGACTAGACCTCCTCTGCTACACCCATACCTGAAGGGGCTGCTCCTCTTGCATCATTTGCTTGTCAGAAACAAGATCCCATTGGCTTGGTGCAGCTAAACCAGTATCAGACTCCTTGATACCTATTTTTAAAAAAATGATGCGAAATATGATTGATCAAATAATCCAAATAGCAACAATAAAACATGTAAACCTTTCCAACAAGATTGAAACAATAAACTAATCTCAGGAAGGTAAGCACATACCGCACAAATCGTTGACTTTCTTCGCCATTTCCTTAATTTCCTTCTCTGCTTTCTTTATACTCGTAGAATAAGGTCCTAAACCCTGCATAAAAACAACAAGTCCTAATTAAATTCTGGTATTATACTTCCTTAAAAAAAAAATTATAATGCTAACCTTAAAAGGAGAGGAAAAAAGAATAGGCAATAGTTGGACTAATGCGAAGCAATTAAGCAGATAACATAAATTCCAGCTTAATAACTCTAATGGGATATTAGCAATAGAAATTGCACCAAACATTAGTAAAAAGCAATAAAAAAAGAAGCTGTTGATCCTAAACTCTAAGAATCAATCTTAATTGTAATCAAAGAAACAAGCTTTTCTATTTTTTAAATATCTCGATTCATGAAAAAAAAAAAAAAGGGAGAGAAAAAATTTTTGGAGCAGACTATTACTATGGTATTTAGGGAGAGGTAAATAAATGGGAATTGAGTGAATAAAGAAAGAATGAGAGATAGAAAGAAAGACAGAAGATAGAGTTTAGAAAGGAAAAATTTACATACATAAGTCTTGAGGAGTGCGATATCGTCTTCATCCAGAGGGGGAGGGTTCTTCTCGTCCTTCAACGCATCCTCCACGTCTGCGCCACTTCCCATTCTTATTTATTCCTTCGCTTCTTTTTCTTCTTTCTTAGGATTAACTTCAACTTCACCTTCACCTTTTCTTTTCTCTTCTTTTCTTTTCTTTTCTTGAGAGAGAGAGAGAGAGAGAGTGAGAGCAGGGACGACAGACGGCAGGCAGCAGAGCAAAGACACAGAAAACACTCCTTTTAAGCTGAAGCAGCTATAAGCATGTACGGGCTTCCCATTTCATAAGGGCTTCTACCAGCCCATTTCAATTTATCCGGAGACTGAAGTTTTATTATGCAGAGTAATAATCAAAATTTCATGTTTGTCTCAATTATTCAAAATTTCTCCTTTAGTTTCGTATGGGCTGGAAGACAGCCAGGCCCATGTGCCTAGGAAGGAAGCACAGCCCCACCATAAAATATAAGGACCTTATTGTAATAAAAATTAACATTAAGAACCATTTTGTATAAACTTATAATTTAAAGGACCAAAGTATTAAATATTTTACAAAATATGCAAAAAAAATCTTTTTTTGTTTTAGAAAAATAATGTCGTTTCAAATAAACAAAAAAGGACATAAAAAGACGGTGATGTTCACTTTAGCAGGGTGAAATGAAAAGGCATAATATAAAAACCGAAATAAAACTTTGAAGAATCGAAATAAAATAAAAATATAATATAAGGATGGAAAGAAAAAACAAAAAAAAATTGTACCATGCAAGGTTCAAAATCACATGATTAAAATTTTAATCACCAAAATGGAAGTAAGATTACAGAACAAAGACCAAACGAACCAAAACTTCACAAAAAGAGAGAGAGAGAGAGAAAACTTAAGTACAGTGAAACTACATTTAGATTATTTGCTAATGCATGAAGATGACAGTTAAAGAAAACGCAGAACAAAGCTTTCTTCCAGAACGTATGTTATGTGACATCCTAATGTATACACCGGCTCTGCCATTTAGAGGTATTTGCGTCAACTTTTCCAATTTTAATCTACTTCTTTCCATCAGTCTCTAATTTCTTTTCTCCCCGTACATTCCTGAGCCCTGGATTCCTATCAACACCCACAGACCTCTCCACCTAACTTAAAAATTTCTCATTTCGTCAGCCTCTTCTGTCGTTGTCTTTCAAGATATTAATTTTAACCATACTGTCATTCTTTGTTCTTCACGAATGCCCTTTTTACGTACTAGCTAGCTGGTGTTTCAGTTTATTGGCTTATTAAAAAAGTACTTTAAATATAGACTTGGCAATTCTTTTTCTGCACTGGTTTATTTTAACCATACTGTCATTCTTTGTTCTTCACGAACTAATATGATTTTCATCGTTTTTGCTTTTGCCCTGATGAAAATCTTTTTCCATGCTGCATGGGAGATACGATTTGTATATTCTACTCGGCGATGCCAACAACTTTTATGTGATCATTCTTTCTTTTACTAGCTTGCTATAGCCATGGAAAATTAAGGTCAAACGTGACAGTATATATAGTCTCATATACTTTCACAGATAGTGTCCCAGCTATTTGACAGGCTCACATCAATACTACGGGAAGCCTTTGCAAGTAGAGCATCTTATTGTGCATCTGTTGACAATCTTCCATAACGCCCAAACTCTAAAAATTAGATGTGGTGAGACTTGATAAAATCAATCGAGTGTTTAAATAGCTAGCATAGTATATTAGTAGGTCATAAGCTTGAATTTCAATGACGACATCAAAGCTAGGAGAAGAAAAAAATGGGTGAAATTTTATGAAGTAAAGAAAATTTTCTTCGATGATTTTTAATTGTCAGGATGGAAAAGAAATTTAAAAAAAATTAAATTTCGAGGGTTATAGAATGTGATACCTCGTTTCGATGCATAGCACTTTGATTAGTACGGGGTTGATTGAAGCCAAGAGGAAGGACCCTTCGTACAGCCCTAGTCTCAAGCCCGATGCAAAGAGATAAGCTTGGAACAATGTTAACCTTCGAATGGGCTGACTTCCCACTGATGAAGGAAAAAAAAAAGAAAGAGGAAAATATTGTATGGAACTACTCATATTTCAAGTTTGTATATTTTTTAAGAACAATATTTAACTCGACGTGATTGTCGGTTAAACCTTAAACAAGTTTTTAAAAAAGGTAAAGTTCCAAAAGAAATAAATTTAACACAAAATTCGTCACCCGAATATATGAAGAAAAAATTATTTGTTCCAAGAAAGAAATTTCAAGATTGGCACAAATTAAAATCGAAGAACTTGATTAAAAAGATTGCATTTTAAATTCAAAATTTGTAGGAATTTCATTGGCTTTCAAGAATTCAAGTTGAAAAGGTATACTTTCAAACTATAGCGTGGATGATAAATTTAAGAGTGAAGTTACAAAGTTATCAAAAATTGATATATAGGATCTATTGCTGCCAAATTATATACAGCTTGAAATCTAAATTTAATGGTGAATTTTGATTTTGAGAAATTATTTGTGAGATAGTAAAATGCAAAGATAATGATGAAGGAAAATTTACAGAAGGAAAAGAAATGAGAAAGAAAGAATAAAGTAGTTGAGAAATTTGAAAAGGTAGAGAATGTTTGTTCTATTTTTTTTTTTTTTTTTTTTAAGGAGTGAGGAGAAAGAAATTGATTTGATGAATTTAAATTAAAAGATAACATTGGAAAGTCAATTTTTGTTTATGAAAAGATGAAAGAGGATTGATTTTTAAGGTGTCAATGAATTCTTGGAATTAAAAGATGGTAGTGGTATAGGTTATAATGAGTTAAGTAATTAATTGGGAAATTTGAGTGTGTTTCTTCGGTCATCAAGAACTAGCGAAATGAAATTTATTTAAAAAACAATTTTTTATTATCATAATAAGTGAAGACGAAGAATTGATTTGATTATACGAAAATAGTATTTTCAAATTCATATTTGAGCCACTAACTGTAAAAACTATGACATTGAAGACACTTACGATTGTGATTTTGTGTTCGTGTTTATAATTTTTGAAGGCTTGGTTTAAAAAAGAGCATTGAAAATAAACCAAGTTGGTATCAATCTTTAAGCTTTATGGTTTAAGAATTGGATCTCCTTTTATGTGTTGATTTTCTACTTGCCATAGGACTTGTTAAAGGTTGGTTTGCGTTTCTCATAAATATAGGGGTTTAGTCTTGTTTTAGGCGCGTACAGTAGTTGGAAAAAAAAGAAGCGCTAATACCTTGTTTGTGAACTGAGTTATAATTGATTTGGTAAGGGTCAAATGATTTAGTGTGCGCGTTGTTAGTGCTGGTTTTTCGATCAATAACATAAAGTATTGTCTTTCGGTATTTTAATTAATTTCTTACAAAATTGAGTGGGACCCTTGGCTTGACAATTTTGGAAGGAAAGGAGAAAGCTTTGTATGGTGAGGTTAGTGAGTTCTAAATCTGATCTCAAAATCAATTTTCATTTGAAGAAGTGAGTAGCCAATTTTAGACTGGGAGTGTGACCATTCACTGGACATTTTGGGAGAAGAGAAAATCTTAAATCAATTTCATTTGAAGTACCTGAATAGCTACTTTTTTTTTTTTTTTTTTTTTTTTCAGTCGATAGATTTGTTTGATCATATAGGTAATTGACCCAGTACTGGTACACCGCACACTATAAAATGGCAAGATTTTCTTATGCTTGGTCACGTATATACTAGTTGGGCCACACTACTGGTACTACAAAATGCCTAGATTTTGGCGAAACTAAAAGAATGCGCAATAATTTTTTTTTCTATTAAAAAAAAAAAAAACAGAGAATAGAACTATTAAGAGATGGAGATAATTGTCCAGATCATTGAATTAATCATATCACTCGTAACAAGGCCATGCCAGAGCCCAAATCTTCTACTTTTGGTATTGTGTATTCAGATAAAAAAAAAAAAAAAAAAAACAATCCTCCAAAATGAATGTGCAGGCCAGAGTTAATGACTTGGGAAAATTGGAATAATCTACTCATATCCATCAGTAAGGGCATCTAATTATGTTACATAACAAATGACAGATATACAAAGCAAATGATAAACTACATTGAATGTCTAAACTTAGAAACATCTTTTGCGTTCAGATTAAAGGTCTTGCAAATATCTGAAATTGTGCAGTCATTGAGGCCATTTTCATCTGCATACTTATTAAGAAGTTCCTCCAGCTCCTTCGATGGTTGCAGCACCTGTTTGCAATTTCATAAACCAAATAAAAAGCTTTACTAAATAGGCAGAAAGACTCTGCTTTTATGGCCAAAAAGTAATGGACTACGTATTCCTGCATGGATCTTAAGGACAATAAGAATAAATGTGGAGAATAGATATAATTTCAAGGGTATATGCAGAAACTACAAATTTAACAACCGCTTGTCAAATCTAGAATCCCAAGGTGCATACAAGAGACAATGCCCAGTATAATGAAAAAAGGGAAAATTGGCTCCCAAGAATCACAAGTTGTAATGATTTCTCTTAGCATATAATAATGAGAACCGTAGCTCATGAAATACAAATATCTTAGTGTAAACTTTCTCACATAATCTCATCATTTTTTTATAAGACGACGTATTGGGAGGAATGAAAGTAGGTCAATTTTAGAAAAGTAAGGAATTCAAGTCTAGCTCATTATAGAATTTATCCATAAAATTAATAAAACCACTTCATGACTATGAAACTTATCCTCATATGTTCACTTGGAATTTTTACAAAAGAATCCAACTTAACCTAGATTATATAGCAAAATGTACTAGCCGTTCCAATAACATTTTTAATCCTGTAAGAGACCGATAGATCACTACAAATGTCAAACATTCGTAAGAAGCCATACCCATAGAGAATCTTGTGAACTGTGGAATTTATGCTTAGATTCCTCACTCTCAGGCTCGCTTCCCTTGGCATTTGAAACAGCTGAATTCTCAGCATATGAGCAATCTGACACAAGCTGAAGAAGCTTCTCACTTCCCTATGGTATCAAAAAGAAAAAACTGAAGAGTATGAAAAATGAAATTGCGAATCAATGCATAAGGCAGTGGCAGAATATGATGGACAAAAACAAACATTTAAGATGTTTTTCGGAGACATGATAATGAACTTCATCAAAAGTAATTTTGTTCATAGAAGGATACAAGCTGCTTCTTACACAAATGCAAATCAGTCCAACTTCATTTCCATCTTTTAGAATCATGCTAAAGATAAATAACACACCTTAAGAGCTCGCCAGTGGGAATAACTGCGGAATAAGAGCCAAAAGAATGGGATGTTGGGTAGAGGCAAGACCTAAATAAGAAAGAGAACAAAGATACAACACAATAAATTTGGAAGAGCAATAGGAAACATGATAATGCATCAGCTTGTAATTCCTGCAGCATAGAAGGATAAATTTCAAAACCTATGACACATGAAATCACAACGGAAATTGACATTCTTAAACTAATGCATACGTACAGCTAATGCACTTGTCACTGGAAGTAGCGTAACTGAACCATAGAAATATTTCCTGTGAATAACAGCTCCCCTAATCATCAGACAGTACTCGTTAGGAAGACAGTGGCCACCATACAAAATTCACAAAATCCAAAATAACATATCCAATGAAATTAAATACATGCGACTTAAGCTTTAAACCAAGACAAAAAATTAAAATTGAGAGATAATGATTTCTCAACTAAGAAGACAGTTAGCGTTATGAAGAAACAATTTTCTTTAAGGAGCTTGACATCACACAAAAAGCTTAGCACCTAAGAATTGTCAATTACTGATGTATTATCGATGTCCTTACACATTGGACAAGTAAAGCCTTATATCTCCCCAGCGTAAGGCTAGGCACTCATACACTCCTTTTGGCTAGTTTCAATAACTTAGTGTCATGTCTTAGAGCATACACGGAAATTTATCAAAAACAAATAGAAAACGAGGCATGTATTTGAGGCTCTTGCAGTTTTGGATCATCCATAAGGAAACCTTCTAGCCAAAACATGGTTTTGCATTACGTTGAATTCCCATTAAACTAGTCTGGTCCACTTCAAAAGCACAGACTACCAAATAGCAACAACATTCTTGCAATGATTATATTGCATTTATATATCATAATTTTAAAAGAGCAATCTCAACTTTTAAAAGAAAATAGAATCAATAGATATGGAAAACACAGAGGAAAACAATTACCTCGTGGCAATGTGTCGCAACCTTCGACGCACAAGGCGTGCATTTAAACTGTAATGTAGTCAAAAAGGTTTTTAAAAAGGTCAACTACAAAAAGAATGCAGACTCTAAATCTTGTTCTACTTCCACATTGCTCTTCAAATCATAAAATGACATGTACTAACCTAATCAACACTTATTCAACCAAAAGTAAATACAAGAGGATAAGAAAGAGAAGAGAACCTGGAAGGGTAGGTAATTTCAACATTAGTGACCTCCTTGGATATAGATTTCAAAAAATCTCAGACGGCTTAACCCTTGACAAAAGCGTCAATCCCAACCTGAACCCATCAAATAATTTCAATTGAAAAAAACCATCTCATATGATACCAGCAACTTGTAACTAGTGATTCCACTCGCTAAGACATTACAGAAAAAGAAAAGGCAAAAAGAAGAGATACCCATAAAGCTTATTCTTGAAAGTGCCCTCAGGAGCCTTCTCTAGACCCGTCCATGCTTTATTCATCTATTTGACCAAAAAAGATCACACATTTATCAATATCTGTTAATGGGCATTCAACACAATTAAAAAGCAATGGATAGAGAAAGAAATGGTAATAAGACCTTATTGGAAGCATAATCTATAACAAGTTCCACATTACTGGTACTGGAGTTAGAAGAAGAAGAGATCTTTTTCCAAAGGTGTTTGAGAGTGGAAGGGGTGTGGGAAGAGGCTGCCTCTTCCACGGAACGGTCTATTGATCTGCCAAAGCACCAGTTTCTTCCTTTCACTGGAAACACCACCAATCTTGCTCTCATGATTCTTACTTACAAAAAGAAAAAGAAAAGGACTTGTTTTTTATTGCTCTCCTTTGGTATTCGTAAAGCGAACTTCCCCTGTCTGACACTAGAAAAAGGAAAGAATAAATCAACAAATCTAATCCAAATCAAGAAGAGAAGAAAAGAGTACTGTGTGTATATTCCAAAGTAATCTGATGCTTATGAAAGTTGTGCAAAGAGGGCATTGCTTGAAAGAGAGATGGAAGCGGCGGGCTTTTCTTTCAATAACAATACAGGTTTCTGGTTTGCCGTACTAAAAGGAGGGTAAGGCTGAGTCATGTTGGACTGTGACTCAGCAATTCGCCTGCCAAGTGGGCTGAGCTTCTTGCTTGTTTGTAAATTCAGTTTTTTTACCTACAAAGTGGGTCAACTTTTGTCCCTAAATCCATGCTCGTGTGATTCTCTTGACCAATTGGCTTCATCGTCCCTAAATCCATGTTCATGCGATCCTTCCCAGAATGCTATTGCTCGGGAGGATCACGGGCTGCTACCTCTTTTGCCAATGCTACCAGAAGGCAGAAGCAAAGCAAATCTGTTTAATATCTTAATTAATATAAAAGTTAATGAGATCAAAATCCATCAACATTGATTGTCGAAAATTTTTAATTGAATAAATACTTTGTGATATTTAATCTCACGTGTGTTTTTATTAAATTTAAATATACAATATCAATATATTTGATTTTGATAAATGATTAAAAAAACATAAATATGCAATCAATTATTTATATCACCTAAAAATCTAATTAAAAGAATCAATAATTGAAAGATGGTAAGAACGACAATAAAAGGGTGCTTGAGCTATTTATGTTAGAAGGATGATTAATTTTACCCAATGAGTCCATAATTAATGATTAAACAATATCATTATCCTCAACTTTATAGGATTTTTTTTAATATTATTTTATATCGGTGTAATTTTGAATATCAAAATATTTTTTAAAACATGGGTTAAAAAATCATGAACAATTTTAAAGCGTGACATAATCTTTTAAAAATTAATATAAATTAAAAGATGATAAATTATTAACGATCAAATTCATTTGTAATTTAGATCATTTCTTCTTCTATATGTTAATCTATCACCAGTGCCATATTTTTTGAAAGAAAAAAAATGATGTCATATTAAATGTTATTGTCATTAAATTTTTTTAGAACCATGCATCTCATAATGATCAACTATCAATCATCAAACTTCAATTATTATAAAAACAATAGCAATTAATCTTCTTCTTTTTCTGTGAGTGAGTGCAAATTGTTATTTTTTTACAATAACAATTATTTTTATGGTAATTTTGAAAAAAAAAGTCAAAATCATGATAACTAATAATCTTTTTTTTTTTTTTGTACATTGTATGACAAATACAAAAACAACCCTTAATTATGTGTGAAAATCAATGTTGAGCAAATAATAAATAATAAAACAGAAGAAAAATATAAAATCCATGTTATTTAGGACTTTTTTTCTTCTTGCTATGAATGTTTTTTTTTCCGATGTTATATATATAAATAAAGTAATTCATAATTATTTGTGAAAAATTGATATTAAGCATACAATAAATAATAGATTGTTCTCATATTTGAACTCTATATTCTTTGAATTTTTTTTTATTGAGACCCTCTATTTTTATTTAACTTTATTAAGACTCATTATTCTTTGAAATTTTTTATTTCAAACCTTCTATTATAATTCTATCAATCAGCAATCCATACGTGATATTCTAAAGTATAAAAATTTGAAAAGTAGAGATGACATGTTGATCATTGATTGATGACATAACAACGGAGGGTCTGAAGTAAAAAATCTTAAAAAATAAAGTCTCAATAACAAAAAAAAAAAAAAAAGTGAGTTTAAATAATAAAAAATTCGAAAAGTATGAGGTGTAAATATGAGGAAAATCCAATAAATAATTAAAAAAAAAACTTGTTATTCAAAGCCTTTCTTCTTTTGAATGTTAAACCACACTTGACACTGATATTTTTAAAATTTGTTTTAATACCATTTTAGATTGATTAATTATCATATTTCAAGCCAAGAAGACCACGTGGTTTTGTTTTGTTTATTGTTGCAGGAGTTTAGCTACAATAAAACCTATTTAATTGTTCTCTATGATATAACATAAGAGTTTCGGGACTTCTGATTAAGCTGAGCAAAAAATAAAAAGAGTGAGATGGTGGAGTTATAATCACTAGCAACGCAATAAGTAATAGAAAATTGTTCAACTGCTGTCACTAGCTTTTAACACCATGTGCATTACAAAAATAATACTCAACCATGACTAAAAAAATGAAAAGAAAAGGGCTTATGTGCAAAATACAAATGCCTATTATGGTACACTACAATACATGCTATGATCATATTCAGCACCACTAAATGCCCAAATTCGGGCATCAACTAAGGAAGAGTTATTTCCAGATTTATTGCTTATCCATGATAAACCATCCTCACCGGCAGATTATCACAATGAACTATTGAAGAGGCAGCTCAAACCACACAAGGAACACCATCGGCCAATTTCCTATATCTTCTTCATCCATTTTCTGCAACGAAATTTGGCAACTCACCTTGGCAGAGGTACTCATCACACGAAGATGCTGATTCCCAACCCTTCCGCAGCCGCAAGATGTCCTCGGTGAAAGTGGATCCAGAGGCTCCAATGAACACATTGGACATAGCACAGATTGTCTTATCCAGCATGGCTTCCACCTACAAGTGAAATCCCAATAAATTCATTTCAATTCAAGGAAAAGAAATGACAGTGATTTAGCAAACAACATAAGTTCATGGAATGATCATATGTTAGATTATTGAATTCACACAATGTCTTCGCATTGTCAAAATCAACTGAGCAAATCAAATGCCTCAAGAACTTATTTTCTGATGTAAAAAGAACACCGAACTCTGTGCATTTCAATGGAAGGAGAAAAATCGAGAGTGAGACCTCTATCTAATCTCTAATAATAATCAAATGCCAGTGAGTCATTCATATGCATGATGAATAATTATAAGCCATCAAAAGAAAAGAGTTTAAATGCACTTCTTCAGCACCCAACACAGAATAAAGTCGGAACTTATTTACTTTATCCGCAAAAAAAAAAAACTGCATTAAAATACATGAGGAGCTCTTTCACTAAAGGATTCAAAACAGTTGGGAATCTTTATGAAGATAAATCTGCTAAAGCTAGAACCCAGAAACCCTAATGCCATCAAACCAATTATGATGGACTTTATACATTTGGGATATGGAAGTACTGTATAGTACAGTGATTACATCCGCAAAACAGATAGCTAATCAAAAGGGGTCATTTAGCTCAGAATCGGTGTTTGTATATATATATTGCATCTATTTGTAAAATATCCTAAAAAAGGTTGAATCATGCTCCATTGTGGATCCTTCATGATCAATGGGCTATTAAAATTCAAAAGTACAAGCAAGCCTGCTAATGTATCCTCCAAAAGCCTAGGATCAAATACTGTCCTTATCAGGATCAGTCCAATTGGACCTATTATTAAGCAATAACATAATCTTCATAGGTTAAGAAAGGAATGGAAAGGTCGATTGTTATGCATTTCCAATTGTTATCATACCAGAGAACTCTTGGGAACAATCAGTAATAATGAACAGGCAATGGATGAAATTCAAGCTGTAAGTTTCCTTAACCCATGCTAAAACAAATGCATAGGAAGAAGTGAAATGCAGTCTTACCTGAGAATCATCCTGAAGGCCATGCCTGTATAGCAAAGCATCCCACTTTTCAGCTGAATTACGATGAGGCCGTGTAACAAGTGGCACAGTCCTTCCATTCACCACAACTAGCGACTGCAGCAAACCAGTTTCACTTTCTGCCGCATCTGTGGAGAGATATATCACAGGTGCATTGGCCCTTTCAACCACCCGAGCAATGCAATCTGCGGCTTGGGGAATGGGATAAAAGCAACTTGGGTTTTTGGCATTGCTGGAAAAATATCCAAGAGTTCTTAGAGGCATCATGATGTCTAAATCTTCTCAGTAAGGTGAGAAAAAAAAATGAACGTTCACAATGTTTAGAACCCAATCCAATCAAGCATGCCGTTTGGAGCAAGAAATAGATGCTACTCTAAAACAACTGAATAGTTGCATTTAAATGTTATGCTCCAAGACTGACTATGGGATCTTATATTAACAAATCAATGTGTTCAAGTTGTCCCACCATATGTATATATATGTGTAGAGAGTAATAACTTGATGAAAAACTAAGTTGATACATAATGCTACATATACACATGCATAAAAACACACAGCATATGACCTATACTTGCAAAAAATCATCATTATAAGACTCCCATCCCTATTTTGTCTTCACTTTCACATTCTCGGCACACAATTTCAATAAATCTCCTGATCATGCTTTGGATAACTGCTAAATCAAGCCAGTATGTAATCTTATAGATACTTAAAAGAAAAAATGCTTACAGATTTTGACTGTCACTGCCAAAACAAGTTATCCAACTGGGTATTAGACTATAGATAGATGTAAAGAGTTCCTTACCCTTATCCCACCCTTCTTCTCTATAACATTATAGAGAGTTAAAAAGCTCATACAAGCAAGGACGATAAACATCAAGGAACAGGCATGAAAACAACACATACCAGAACTTCAAAAATCCATGCCGCCGAAAATGGAGAGCAATGAAGTTATTCCCCAAGAAAGTTTGAACAAACCGCTGTGCAGTAAGCATAATTATCTTAGTCGGTTCGATCAAAATCTTGCATTTATGAGCAATAGCACCACCCGGTTGCATCATCCAATCTTCCTCCACATCAGCAAAAAACACATCTCCCACCGCAATAACATCATAATCACTCGCAAACTTCCCCTCAACATCCTGAACAGTACGTTTGCTCGGCTTCTTAATATCCTCCTTCCACGGGGACTCAAGTTTCCCCATCGACACCCCCAACCCCTTCAACTTCTTAACATGATCCTCATCAACATAACATGGCGTAGGGTCGGAAAAGTAACAAAAAAACCTATCAATATGCGGTTTATTTTTCTTTATTTCCACAAACTCCTCGAACGTAACAACAACCTTCCTCCCCAAACAATCATTTACATGCTCAATATCTAAAACCCTATTGTACTGATAATCAAATTTCGAGCTCGGAATAACCAGAACCCGATTCAACAATGCCGCAAAAAACATATGCTTCTCTAAACAAATCAAATGGTTACTCATCTGCCCCGATAAACAAAGCGCGAATAAGAATTTATTTGATTTCGGCTTCCATTCTATAGTTTTCCTATCCGCGAATCTCTGATCCACTTTTTTACAACTACTGCCGGACCACCCAAAACCGGCATTGGTAAAATCCAAATCTGATGATACATTCCCTGATTTATGAGGGGATAGTAAAACCTGTTGAATTTCTTTATTTAAAGAAATCTGTATTAGCAATGCAGATTTCAAATCTTCGATGGAAACAGAATTGAACTCATTTTCTAACAACGTGGAATTGAGGGTGGAATTACTGGAATTGGGAAGTGAAGTGAGAGAGCGGTTCCAGAGAGTGAAGAGAGAGAGCTGCTGTTGTTTTAACAGATAAAGAGCGCGTAATTCAGATTCGCGCATTCGATCAGAGAGGGAGCCGCCGACATTGGGAGCAGAGAAATTGGTCGAAAATATATTCCGAACGTCGGTGGAGAAGGAAAGAAGCACAATGACGAGAGAGAGAAATATTATAACAGCGAACAAGGAGTACCTCTTGTTGAAATTGAGATTGTTGAAACCGTGTCGTATCCGGGGTTCGACTTCGAATGTGGATCGTCGGCGAGTTGGAGAGGAGGTAGGGAGGATGTGGTGGTGAGTGTCGTTTTGGTTGTGTTTTCTGTCGTTTTGTTCAATTAGGTGATCCCGATCGTCTTCTTCGTCGGATGAATCTCTCTCCATTGTCTGCTTTGCTTTCGGGGAGGGGAGGGTCAATGGGACAGTGCCGTTTTGGGGTTTGGGTTGGATGTGAACGGGTTATATATGTGTCATTTTGAGTGAGGGTGAGTAAGGGAAGGAGGGAGGGAGTGAGTAATAATAAGATCTGATGAGTAATTAAGGTGGTGGACTAAAGGAGAGGAAGAAGAAAATTAAAAAGGAAGCAAAGCAAATATTATCAGTTGTCGGTGGCGGAAAAAGACCACGCACCCGTCTCTCTCTCTCTCTCTCTCTCTCTCTCAGCTTTTTCGGGCCAGCCCAGTTACTTGTACTAACTGTTTATGGGTCTGCCCTGATTATTGTGTTCCTGACCCAGCTCTTTACGGTTCCATGATATAATAAGTATAAATAAACGGACATTTAGTCCAGCTGCAGATATTTTTTCAATAATGATTGAGAATTAAGTGTTCTTGGACCAATATGTGTCCGATGCCTATTCTTTACGGGGTCTTAAACTGGATTTCTCTACTCTATTCATGAATAATTGAGTTTTAAATAGTAGTATTTCGTCCACCTTTTTAGATTATTATTTATTAGGATTAATATCATGACATATATTTATATAGGTCAGATTTTGAATATGTTTTTCATAAAAAACACTTTTAATTTATCTTTATATTTGAATTAATTTTTCATCTATTCTTTTAATTATAATTTGATAAAATTTATGGTTAAATTAAGCAACTAATTTACACATAATATGTAAATTCATAAAATTATCTTTATTATTTGATACAAGTGATTTATATCTATTGATATACAAATTAATTTTTAAAAATTGATCGAAAATTCTGATTAGAAAAATAAATTAAAAACCAACTCAAAATATAAAGATAAAAAGAAACATTTTTTTTTTTAACAAAGATAGAACATGTTAGGTATTAATCTTATTTATGACTCCTATTTATCAAAATTTTATTCTTCCCTTGATAACTTCTTTTGTTTTGTTTTTCTGAACATTTTGAAATAAATAGTTGACAATGCGACCAAACAGTGCGTGACCATGACTAAATCAAGGAAATGTTCCGGCCACTGTTTTTAAGCTTGCAGCGGAAGCAGCGCTACAATAAATAGAATGCAGGAGTAATTAGTTGAGAAATGGAAAAAATTTGCCACGTAATGATAGGGAGAAAGACACGTGTCGAAGCTGCACGCCATCCTTACCGAGGACATCTGGTAACACTTCTAGATGCTGCAAGAACAAGGACCCCCCACCCCAACCCCCTTTATCATTCTATATATATCACAATGCAATTCTGATGTTCGTTCTACGTGTATATATATATATTACAAAAACCTCCCGTCTGAATTACAAATCCGAGATAACAGTTGAAATGGCCGGATGGTGGTGGGTGACTCAAAAGATTGGTAACGGAGTCTGCAGCAAGATTAAGCATGATGAGCTGCTGCTGGTTGGGACGAGTAGGAGGCTAATGACAGCAAAAGCACCCAACAGAGCTGCAGTTCATGGAACTAAGCTACCTGTTACTGAAACCATCGACGTAAGCACCACTCAATCTCATTACTTGCCCCATACAGATCTCTAGGTTTTTAACTAACATATAAACAGCTCATCTTAATTAATTTGACTCTTGTCGGTTCTTAATTTTGCAGAGGGAAGAAGCGGAGAAGGAGATCAATAAATGGAAGGAGGAAAAAGAAAAGAAGAGGAAAGAGGTGGAGAAAATTGTGGACTCCCAACTCAACAGTCCTGATAAACCTTACTCTGCTATCAAATGATGACTTGAATTTCTATTGGACACTGAAAGACAGTCCTCCATCTAAGCTACCAAGTTCCAAGGGCTCTAATATTTCCTTTCTTGTCATATGTATATATGCAAGGGGAAGAACAGAATGTTGTTGTAATGAATCACCCACTTTGAAGTTTATGTTTCAGCTTCTTGCTAACTTTATTAGCTCAAGATTATTCCAGAGAGCCTATCTCGAAATAATAATTAGGCATCATGACTGGGTGGCATAAGAACAATAGAATTGGATACAAATTGGTCTTGCCTCTGCGCATATATATATATATATATATAAAGAAGACTGTAGAATAACAGAGGCAGAGAGGTCAAGTACGCAATATGAATCCAAAATTGTTTCTCTCTCTAAATATTACATGCTATAAACAAAATATGATGGATGATGAACTCGTTACGAATGACCCTCGGCCATAAACTGCTGAAGCCAATTTGTGTCAAGCAGGATTGTGAGTTGAGACCTATTCCAACAAAAAAAGCTACCATGGTGGCTGAAGAACAGGTGAAGATGAGATGCAACATGAATATATCAAATTTGAGCTATTCTATTAACTCTCTCAATCTCTTTCTGTCCCTTCAACAAGCCTCCCACGAACCCATTTCTTAGTAGTGACTGATTTGGAATGTGTCTCTTCTTTCACATGCGGAACTCTGGATCCATTTGGTAGATTAATCTTTTCAGACTTGAGACTCCCGTTTGGTTCCACTTGGTTAGGTTGCTTTCCTGTACTCGAATGGTTTACAAGACTCTCCATACTCGGCGAAGGCAGCCCATATGCACTGGAGCTTAAAGGGAGAAGTTCCTTCTCACCATTCAGTACATCATGGAAGGCTAAATTACTGAAATTGAGGTCTTCATCTTTACTTGTTTCCAGGATCTTGGTCCCATTTACTTGTCTCAACTCTACTTGATCCCAGCCTCTGTCGGCTGCATTTATTTCCTTCTCAACCTCTCTAAGCTCAGATGGGGCAAGAGATGGGTGCCTGCCGTTCTCATTAGACATCATATCATTGGATACGCTATCCTCATTATCCACGAATTCAATTGATTGAATTGCTTCAGCAATAAGGTTTCTGGCTTCGATTAGTGAGGCACGAGCAATGGGGCTCTTCATTGCAGCAGCTTCAAGAGCGTTTGCAGCCTTCTCAGCTTCCACAATTAATGACCTGCAGGATATCTCATATGATGAGTATAGTTTCTCTACAGGGTGAGCAGTCAACTATGTTGGTGGAAAGTTCAAGTTCCAACCAAAAGAAAGAGTCGTGAAACTCAGAAGAGCAGGATGGGTTTTTCTAGCTTCAACACCATTACCATTTTCCTTTTCAGCAACAATTTCCAGTAGGGACAGAGAACCATGTGAATTTTACTAGTTAGTTGGAATAGTAGCAAACACAAGGGCTGAAATTGATGAATTGATAGATGTGTAGTGAATTCATAGTGCAGGTTAGTAAATTCTTCTTTAGTCTGTATTCATATACTAAGTCATGTACTAGTTCTGTCACGTCCAATATAAGAAAACTGACCTTGCTCGATCAATGGCTTCATTTTTCTTGGTTTCTGTGGCAGTTCTTTGTGCTCTGATGCTCTTTATCATCTCCAATTTCGCACTTGCCAAAGGATCCTTATATGCCGGTGTCTTACTTCTTCGCCTCAACTGCTGAATTGGGTTTCTGGTATCCCCCATTTCTGTATCACTAGTTCTTCTCTTTGTGGAGTCCCGTCTAGCAGACTGTGTACGACTGCTAGCTGTCCGCCTTGGCTTCCTTTCAACTCCAGCTGGCATGCCATGATATTTACAAAGCCCAGAGTAAACTCTCTCACGGTATTCCTAGTAGGAGCAAAGAAAGTTGATTGATTGTAATGGGGGATAAAATATGAGCAAGTTTACAGCTGCAGAGTTGACTTAGTTGAAATTTATATCATCACGAATCACAATTAAAGTTGACTCACGAGTGATGAGTAGATCGTATGCAATCAGCAAAAGAACATGGAGTTGGCTAAATGATGAGCAATATTAGATAGGACGAGAGCAAATACTGAGAGTATCAAGACAAGAAACATCAAAATATGCATATGTCAAGATCAACTAATTCTTTTACAGGTATATCAGCTACATACCATATATTCTGATGAAGGAATATTTTATGACTAGATGTTTAGGTCATACAATATGACATATGTCTTCACAAAGCCACATCCTAAATTCTTACTCCAAATTCGAATTTTGTTTCATGCCTCAATTTTGTTTTTTATTGTTTCACCCCTTCAATTTAACACTAATCTTATGGTCCAATATCCAAATCCATACGTAATATTCATTGGAGAAAACATATAGCATAAAAATTCCAATACAACTCACTGGATCAGCCCATTTAGCAGCAATGGCTTCTGATATTTTTCTTCTTTGTTCAAGGGATTTTGGGGCTCTCTTGCTACCTTTTGGTCTAGGCGTTGTTTTCCTTTGTTCAATACTCTCCACCCATTCAACCTCAAGCTGTTGCCTTAAGATATTGTAGGAATCCCACTGCAGCTCTTCCTCACCAATATAGCCTCTTCTTGAAGCTTCAGCAATTAAGTTCTGCCATTCAAAATAACAACTTTCCTGCATTATCTGCTTCTCCCGACGCTTTTGCCACCCTAATTTAACTCCATGCCCAATTTTCACCCTAGTCTCTTTGCTGTAAGATAACAAGAAATAGTGCACAGTTTTTAAACTAGAACTTCCAATCAGAATCTTCTACCCGAGCAAAAAACAATTTCGATGGTAAATTAAGATAGGATACGTGAAAAAATTCTCGATTAGCATTAGCAGAGGAGATGGTATTTTGAATCAAATTTGTAGCAAAGAGGTAAACAGTGTAATACCCACCTCTGAGCGTGTCCAAGGTTGGCTAGCTTCATCTTGATCTGCACCAGATTTTTGGGTGATTTATTATTCATAGAGTCACCATATGCAAAATTTGTTAACCATATCATGCATACCTTAACACTGTATCCAGTGCATTAGCTAAAGCAATCATGTAAAAGAATAATTGTCCATGAAAGTGAGATGGACAAAGAAGATCATTTAGCTTATGAATGGTCAAAAAAAGGAAAAGTTCATCTAAGGTGGACCATAAGTAAGGCAGTTGAGACAAAGCATCAACTCAAAAGAGCAGCAAAACAAATGCCAGATCAAATAAAGGTCAGAAGTTTCAACCAGTTGCAAACTATAGTTTTTCTTTTCTCGACATTATGCACAACAAGAAGTCAGATGCCAAGGCCAGTGTCAATCATTGGCCATTGCAATAAATCCTCCTGACTGCTAAAAATTAGTTCCGCCACAATATCATACGCCATTTTAACTGAACAATTTACAGTCAAAGAAGGACCTACTAGACACTTGGGAAAGTAAGAACCAACCAGGTGTGGGAGAGTGAGACCCAGCCAGGTATGGGAGAATAAGCATTGTTTTGGGATGTTTACCGTTTTCAGGACTACAAAGGCCTGCAGTCTTAAAGCAGTAACCGAGACAAAGGGATTGAATTTCCTAGAAAACTTCATCAATTCCTTTCCTTAAGCTTATATCAATTTTTTCATCTGAAAAGTGAATCCGACTATAGGGTAGATTGTAAACTTATCAGATCATGCCAAGGGAATATATAAATCATTCTTACATGACATCACCTTAGGATCCTGCATCGCAAGCTTTGTCCTCTCTCTAATCTTTTGAAGGGTTTCTGCATGTGTATTAAAATCTTTAAGTAACATTGCTAATTTACAAGTCAGCAAATGAAGAAAACAAAATGACAAATGCAGAACCATGCTTATCGAGTATTTAGGTATTGCTTACCAGGACTATGTTTCTTGCCTTTGTTCCATGGCGTGTTCCCTTTATTTGCTTTAGAAATCCTTTTCCGTCTCAATTTTTCTCTGTCATCTAATGTCATCGAGTCTTCATGTGTAGACTCCACTTGAGCTGCCAAGCTATCTGAATTGGCACCAAGCTGTTCATTCTCACGACTTGGTTTTCTTTTTTCACCTCCCTTGCGAACCAAAGACTTGGGTTCAACCGTAGCAACAGCCTTTATCCGAAGTTTACTCCTCTCAAAACTATTTATCTTTCTATGGAATTCAATACATTTCCCTAACAACAAAAGCCTCTTATCATCACCAGAGGTAAATGGACTTGAAAAAACTTTGCAACGAACATGGGACTGAGCCCTTAGTGAACCAATATGATTTTGCAGGGAAGCCTGAGCAGTAGCAATATCTGCCCACCAAAACCAACAGTTAACAAACTTAGCGATAAGAAAACTACTCCAACAAATCACCACATGTAGACATGGAAAATCCACATATCCAACTAGAAAGTCTAGATAAAGGGAAGAGACTTTCATGCTAACAACAATCATTTGTACCATTACAATACTCAAAAAATGGGAGTCATTGGTGGGAGCTAATAATCGAAACGCACATGAAAGAAAGAAGCAGAAGAATATCATGCAACATGTAACAAACTTCTTGACTAACCGCAAAACCCCAAATTATAACTGTGAATCATACAGATACTGAGTTAGAAGTGGCAACGCATTGAGTGAATATCTTGCTGCAAAAACTGTAAAGCTCTCTAAAAACAAAATAAAAAATAACTTGTCCTAGTTTTAAGGCAAAAGCACACAAATTTAGTAAGAAAAGGATGAAAGCAAGAGGGAGAGAAGAGAAAGAACCTAATAAAGGCATTGATGAGAGGTCATTCAGCTGAACCCAAAACCAAATAGCTCAAATGGGCACCTATAATACATGAAGTTATTGAGAGGCAGACACAGATTTTTCTCCTCCTATATGATAAAATATCAGAAAGAGTGAAAGTGGGTATGTTGTTTTACTTTAAAAAGGAAGGGAAGGAGTAGTGTAAGAGACGCAGAATCTTGAAAGAAGTGGACGAGACGGAGAGAGAGAGCCACGGATAGAACGAAAGGGTGGTGTCTGTTTATTAGTTGCAGAAGCTAAGATCCATGGCCTTGGAATCAATCTGAAACGCTTGTTGATATTTTAGACTTATGGGCTGATCCAGTTTTCACATTTATGGGCTTTATCTTCCTGCTTTTGGGTAAATTTTTCCTAATGCCCACAAAATCATCCCTGTGCAGGTCCGGAAATCCAACTTTGGTTTTTTTTTTTTTTTTTTGGAGAAATTTTCCTCGTCGAAAAGGAGTCTCATCCTTTGGAAATCATTAAATTTTATATTAGTTACGTTTGGGGTTTGTAAAGATTAACATGTTAAAAATGTGGTTGGTAAAGTGGAGAATTAATTAGAAATAAAAACATTACGATGTTGAACATGATGGGATACCGCATAGTTAATGGCCCTAACAAATGGAGAATCATTGAAATTCCCTAAGTATTAGTATCAAAACTTCCTAAGGCTGCAGTTGTCACGGGCATAAGTACTTTGTTAAAGAATTCATTGAATGTAGCACTCGTCGCAGAATTGTCTAAATAAGCTCCATCCTAGAAATTGAGGTCAGGAAGAGTAGCCTGGAAGCGTTTCCATCTCTTGGACAACACACATGTCTGGATTGCTTGTTTGAGGCCAGGCAAACGAAGAATTTCATGAAAGATAGTCTGTTAGATCACTAAATCTGTCTATTTATTCTTCCACGTTAGCATTCTTGCTTTCCTTTCTAATTTGTGATTTTTACTATAAATTGTAGCAGCAGACTAGCTATGAATAGAAATGAGGGAATTAGGATTTCCTTAAGCAGATTTCTAGCCTCAAATAAAATACAGTTCGGCTTTAAATAAGCCTAGATATATATACATAAAACATTGCACAATAACATTAGCCTCAAAATATTTACAGTAATAAGAAATTCCGTGAGCATTCTTGTTTTTAATTCTAATTTGTGATTTTTGACATGTGAAAACGAAATATCAACTCATAATTACTACTTATTATTGATTAATGTCTATAAATTATAATCTATTATATTTCAAGTGTTGAAACGATTTGAGAGGTGATATTTCATGAATTAATAATTTATAGAAGTATTGTTGTTTCTTATATTTATTATCTTATTATAGTTGGTATTTATAACCTTCATATTTTTTAACGTTTTTTTCTTTTTTTTATATTGGACACTTTCTTGCACGGCAACATCTCACAATTTTCTGCCTTAAGCTATCATGCTCCATGTTTGTCTTAGATTGCAATGCTTTACATCTTTTAAGTATTTCCACTCTTTAGTTTCTAGTTACAATGTTCCCATGTCTCTAGTAATATATTTCTAGGTTGTGCCGCTATTGGTATTGGTTTGAGTGAGTTACTCATCTGCTTTCATTCATGTTAGTCCTTTCTTTTAGATAAAACTTGGTTTCCTGTGTCTTTTACCTATGGTACAATTCTGTTTGGAGCCTATTATTTACAGGTCTTATTGTGCCTTTCTTTGCAAATTTAATGATAATGAGCCCCTTAGTCATTTTTTTTTTTTTTGGTCCATCCATATATAATTATTTGCGAACTATTAATTTTCTTTTCAATAAATAAATTAGGCTAACTCCATCCTCCTAAATAAGTTAGACAATTTTGAGTTTTATTATATTTTGAGATTATTTGCTGCATTAAAATTTTAGGTACTAATGATTAATGCTTGTAAGCCATAAATTTATGGTGAAATATTAAGATTATTTCTAAGAAAATTTTAATATGAGAGAGATTAATTTTGATAATTTTATGGTTCTGAAAATAAAAAACACATGTAATGCACATAGATGTTTTGTACAAGTAAATTGATCGACATGTATGTAATATAATGACAACGGGATTGCAAACTTTTTAAGTAATTATTTTAAAAAATTATTAGATCTTATTATCCTTGTCAACTTAAGAAAATAACTCCAGTAGCACCCATCACTTCATACTCTATCTAGTTAAATTGAATCATAAGTATTAATTGATAATTACATCAAAGTTGATGTAATTTATTTGACTTATAAAAAGAAAAAATAAATATATGAAATTAAAAATAAAAATTATGCTCCTTCTATCCTAAAAAAATTATCCTTTTTTTCTATCTATATATGCCTCAAAATACTTGTGAGATCAAAACATTAAATAATATATTTTTCTAAAATACCTTTTATTGATAAAGAAAATCAATTCTTTCTTCTATTTTCTGTTATTCACTAACAAAAAATTAATACTTTTTCTTTATACATTCCAATACATTTAATATAAAAATTTTAAAGAAGTTTTTAGAGAGACTGATTATGTTTAATTAATGGTAATGCAATATATTTAACCAGTAGTGTGCTGATCGAAATTATATTAAAGGGAAATATACACGTACTCTTAATTTTTTCAATATTCTATATTTGTAACAATTAAATATTATCCTTATTCTTCTAGCTAATTTATTAATGGTTGATTACCAATATTTATGATCCATAGATGGCGAAAAGAATGTCCAAAATGGAAAGGTTTATATTTGATTTGAAGTAAATTTTAGTTGTTGTGTGTCTAGTGCATTACAATTTTTGGAATGATAAAATTTTCCGTCCCGATGGAGTCCTAAGAAACCCAACTTAAAGAATAAATATAAGAGCAATACTTCTCTATCAACAGGAGTGTGGTAAATAAATTACATTTATATAATTTCATAATTTTTTTTATACTCTTGCTGTCTTACAGTGATTGTTTTTTCTTACACAATTTAAAAAATTTATTAATTATTATGTCATATGAATATTTTTTATTCATATTTTTCTAAAAAATATTTTTTTGTTAAATTGCTAATTATGAAATTTAATCATGCATTACATGGAACCAATGTCAATTTAAAGAGAAAAGTTATTCAAAATTAATGTGGTAAATAAAAAAATCATTAAGTTAATTATCTATAAAGTTTAAAACAATTATGAAAAAATAAAATAGTAATGAAAATACTTTACTCCTAAAATTTCAGCATACAATAAACTTCCTACAATAATGAATATTTTCATGTAACAAAAAAATTTATTTAAAATTTTTATGTTAAAAATATTTGTATGTATAAGGAAAAAAATAAAGAATATTGATTTTTTATTAATGAAGAAAAAGAAAAGGAAGAAAAAATGATTTTCTTTATGGATTAGGGGTATTTTAAGAAAGTATATTATTTAAAAATTTGACTAAATAAATATTTTAGAACACATATAAATGAAAAAAAAAAGACAATCTTTTTGGGACACAAAAAGTAATACAAATTGATCAATATCTATATATCAAGTATGCTATTTTTATCTCTCTTTATATATATATATATATATATATATATATATATATATATATATATATTTGCTTTAGTACAATTTTTTCACTTGAAGTGTTTTTAATTCATTATTTTGTTTTTTAATTAAATCTATGTGCTATTTTTTAGTTTTACTAAGATAGACTTTAAATTTATATTTAAATTTTTTATTATACATAAATTAGGTTTTTTTTTTTTTTTTGGCGTTACCTAGCATGAGATATTTATCTAGTTTTAACTTAGAATCGTAAATATATTCTCCGACCCATTGGCTCATTGCCATCCCTCCAGAAAATAGCTCTATCTAGTAATTTTATATTTTCTTTAATAATATTTATTTCTGAAAAATGAAAAAGATAAACAAATTTTATTATCAGATTCTTTGCAAGTGACCTTAAGATAATAATAATAAGAAGAAGAAGAATAGTAATAACAGTGGCTGGGTTGCATGAGATTCCTCTTTCTTCCACGAACTTTCTTGAACGGCAAAAAAAGTTCCTCCAAGCACGTTTGTGTTCGTGCTTTCTTTCAACCGCTTATTAATACCATCAGTGCCCATCATCATTCTAAATCCATCATTTTGTCTTTCCCATATTTTTCTTACTCCAGTTTTGAGTATCAATGTAAACTAAAGCCCAAAATTGTGGCGATCCTGTTGGTAAGGCCGTAAGGGTGGGCAAAAATCAAGTGACAGGACATGTAAATTGCATGGTTTTCAAGATTGATTATTTTTTATATACTTAAAACCAATCAAATTCATTAGAAAAATAAAGCATCCTCCAGCTTTTCTTCTTCTCTGACTAAGAAATCCCAATAGATCAACTAGATTTGTTTTGTTGACGTAGGAATATGACCCCTAATACAAAAAAGGGGGTCCGGTCTATCTTTGTACTGACTCCTACTTTCTCTACAGGTAATAAAACCTTAAAAAAATTATGCATAGGAAACCCCCATAGGCTAGCATAAATGTTAAATACTAGCATATAGGGACTTCTTAACACTGATGGAAAAATTGATGTCTCATAAGATATAAGGAGGATCTAGTTACTGTTTATGTGTGTGAAAATGGGAATAATAATTATTGCAATGAAGCAAAAGAAGGGGGAAACTTTGAAGTCAAATTTCCATTGACGAAAATGTTGAAAGCAGGTGGTGATTAGCGACTTTTTTGGACGAACAATCGGCGCATTAGGTGTTACATTTCTTAACATTTGTTTAAAGAAAGGCTGAATAAACCATGTGAAAAGATCTTAATCCTGATCCCATTTAGGTTAGCTTTTCAAAATCATACTATTCACACTTTAATCTTGCAATGCGTTATATGTTTCTATGAGGAATCTAGTCATTCAAACTACATTGTCTTCCTGAATTTTGTTTTTCGAAACAGCTAGAGATTCTTCAACATGATCTTGTAATGTTTTAGCACAATATACGTGACATTTTTCCGAACAACCCAATACCAAACATTCGACAATAGCGATTATTGACCTTAGTTGAGCCATGGCTGAAGGACCAGGTCAAGCACCAGAACATCATCTTGATTATGCAAAAATAGTAGAGACTAAAGAAGGGTGCAGGACACTGACGTTTAACTATACTGACCAAAAACTTAACAAAACAGGGCCATGTTGAATGGTTCAAAAGTTTCAAATGCTTGAACCACATGGTCGGCTCGGTGCCTAAATCCTAACAGCAGCAGACTCTTCGTTTACTATTCATAGTTAAACTTGGGATTAAGGGGTTCGAGTCCAACATGCATTTAAACAACGTCGTAGTCGTGAAGCTCATGGCTTTGGTAAGCCATCTGCGTGACCTGATCTTATGGTGGGTGGTCTTTTGTTGATTTGGAAAATTATGTGATACTTTCGAGAGTTCACACAAGGAAAAAAGAAAAATTGATAACAAATGGTAATGGAAAAAACCCTTTTGATGGCAAAATTAACTTTCCACAACATTGATGTCACAAAGATAAATGCTGCGTAAAATAAAAGATTTCAAAGTTAGTTTTCCGTGTTTCTCTCCGAGGCCATTTCCTAGAAAGTCTCATGATACCCGTCCAAATAATTACTTGTGAATTTGAAATTTACCCATCTCTCTACTCTCTCCAGTTTCATTTGTAGATCTCCACTATATATATATAAACAAATTGGACTGGTGATTAAATGCTTGTTTTCAAAATGTTTTACGTTCTCGATAAAGAAAAAAATGTATTTTTTAGATTCCTTATAATACTGCCCAGTTACATGCAAATAATTATATAGTCCTTTTTTTCTTATCTTTTTGAATCACACGCCTAAAGTTTTTAGTTCAAGATTTAGATGTTGCGTATAGAAGATGAAGGAACGAACCATTGGTGCGTATCCAAGAGATTAGCCTAGTCAAATGACAGCAATACCCTTTTAAGAAAAATTAAGAAGTTGATCAATTGTTAATAGTAATCAAATGTTGTAAGTAACTGAATAATTTTGAAGTTCAAACCAAGTTGTGATCCTTTTGGACGGTAGCTTGAGAGGACTTCGTGATGGAATGCTAATTGTTTTGGTAAGGAAAAATCCAAAGTAGTGGTAACTACTGACTAGTGAGTTGAATAAAGGAGAAAGGGAATGAAAGCATAGTGAAATCAAAGTTTCCAACTTGAGAAGGACGTAAAAAGACCACAGGAAAGGTCAAAAAGAGGAAGCACCGCGCCTCCACCTACAATAGCAGACGCAACTGTCTGTGACTCTGAGTAAAGAAAGGGACAGTCTTTTGTATTGTATAAAGACTTTGGTCTGCTCTGCATTTGTTTGCTTAAATTAAAAAAAATTTTAATGTTCAAAATTTAGCCATAAACATCGTCTACCTCTTCTCTTCTTCCTCTTCCCTGTCATAAAAGTCCAAGGCACCAGTCTTCCAATTCTGATTCACCATACTTATCAATCACACTAACCCATTTCTCCACATTCTCTCTCTTCTTTTGCTAGTATTTCCTTTATACCCCCATTTTCATCCATAGAATCATAGCCCTAAAGGCTGAATACTGGACTCCGTTTTCCTTTTCTCCAACCTTGGTTTGTGATTTTGAAACAAACATCAAAAAAGAAACCCCCATTTTGAATTCTGATACTATCTTTCACGCCTTCTCTTGTAATTCTCACCTGGATTTTGCTCATTTTCAATTATAAAGTTTGAGTCTTTGGTGTTATATTTTGTGATCAGCAATGGGGGGATTAGATGACTCAGCAACAGTGGAAATAACAGGCAAGGTTATGGTTATAGCAATTATAATTCTATTCTTGGTGGTGGTTTTTGTTATCTTTCTACATCTTTATGCAAAATGGTTTTGGTGGCGCGTTGAAGAACCCACTCACCCTCAACAATCTCGCCGCCGCCAACGCCGCCGCTTTGTCTTTAACCCTGGTCAAGACCCAGTGAGAAGAGGGCTAGACCTCTCTATACTAAGATCCCTACCAGTAGTGATTTTCCAGTCCAAAGATTTCCCAGATGGACTAGAATGTGCTGTTTGCTTATCTGATGTTGTAGAAGGAGAAAAGGCCAGATTGTTGCCTAAATGCAACCATGGGTTCCATCTTGATTGTATTGACATGTGGTTCCAGTCTCATTCTACTTGTCCTCTTTGTAGAAATTCAGTAGCACCACAAGCTCAATGCTTTAGTGGTTCCGATAACAACAATGATTTGGCGGTAAATATTCAATCGCCAGAGGAAATTTTGATTTCTGGGTATTCGATAGAATCTCCAGATTTTCCTACAAATGTTTTGTTTTGGGGGGATCAGACTCAAGTAAGCACTGGTGGCGGTGCCTTGGAAGAAGGAACTTCATCTTCTTCTGCACCATCATCTTCATCTGCAGCTGGTGCTAGGCATGATGAGATGCTTGTAATTGATGTTCCTGTGCAAATTACTGATGATCTTGCTGAGGATCAGGAATCCAAGTTGCCAACGCCTGCGCGGTTGAGGTCATTGAAGAGACTTTTGAGCAGGGAGAAAAGGGTACCTCCTAATTGTTCTAATGGTTCTGTTGATGTTTAACCATTGAGAATTATTTAATTCAGGTCTTGAAAGTAGCTATAGATGCCTGAAGATATTGTTGTATTATCTCGGCATCATTGGGTTGGTAGAAAATTATCAGATTGAGTTCAACCATCTTTGAGAATCGGTGGTTCTTATTGGAGTTAAAAGGAAACTTCTTTGATTGATTAGCTCAGTGTTTCATGATTCTTGACACTGAAATGGCCAAGTGTAATTAGCCTGTTGTACAAGTCCTTACTCTGGCCTTGCAACGGAGTTTCACAACATTTGTATGAAATGAATATATTGTATGAGAAGAGAGTAGGCTACAAGGCTTCTCTGCTTTTAGTAGATAGACCATTGCATCTCTTTCTACAGACGATGTATTCTGTAAATTTTGTTTTCAATGATGATTCATCTGTTGTAGAGCCGTTAATACATGTGTTCCTCTTTTATGCTTTATGATTCACATGCCACGGCTTGAATGTGTTTCAAAATACGTATGAAATTCGCAATATATTGGAACAAGATTTGGTTGCATCAAGTGTCGGACAAGGTTTAATTTATGCAGAGATGTTGAAACTCCCTTTCAAAACTCATCTTAGAGTAAGCTCATGCGTGTTAGTATATTCCGTAATTTAGCCAAATTTTGTGTTGATGAAGTGAAATTTCATGGAGCTGCTGAACCCATCAACAGAATACCCTTCGGTGACCTTTTTGAAGAACCAACTGCAAGATACACGCCAATCTCCCTTGACCAAAGCATTGTCATTCTTTAGGCATCGAGTTTTTAGGTTTGAACCGATCGACGATCCATTGAGCGAGTCTTTCTGGTCTCTTTGCCAATCACCTGTCCAGAACCCTGTTTCTGAGCCAATGAAAAAGCATAGGTAAGATTTTCAACAAAAATTCGGACGGATTCGTCTTTCAAAATGCTGTTGTTGAAGTTAACAGGACTTATATCAATCACAAGTTTGAGATTCCTAAAACTTCTGTTTGTCAGATGATCTTGTATTCTTATAACAATTAAGAATACTTGAATTGGTGGAAACCTTAATACCGACCGCAAATAGTTACATTTATCTTATTGTGGATTGTGATAGCTTCCTTTACACTAGTTGATGGCTCTTCGATAGTCCGAAACCAAATTTAGGCCAGGTGGGCAACGCTAGCACTCTCGACCACACAAGGTGGCCTTCATTCTCTTCGTAAACCTGCAGCAGCAGACATTCCGTCCTTTTTCAATGCCATCTTTTGCTTTATTTTGCAGTTTTTTTCCTTTCGGTCCGTCTCTTTTCTTTCTGCATCTCAATTAGTGGATATATTCCTTCATGTTGACACTTTGGAGTCGGGACAAAGTTCAAAGGATGAGGTGGGATTTGTGTGTCTCTTTTTCAAATTGATAAACTTCTGCTTCTACAGGCAATCTAGGATAAAATATGGATAGAAATTCCTGAAACATGGAGATCAAGTGCGCCCGCAAATCCTCCATCTTTTTAATTTTCCCGTATGAATAAAATGTATTGCAATTTGGATAAACTTATGCTAATACAATGTAGAAACTTCAATTGGCTACTTGGAATAGTTTTTTACTTTAATCTCTATCAGAGTCAAACATTCTGACTCAAAAAACAAACAAACAAAAAGAGACAGAAAATAGAACAAAGCTGACAAGGTGTCCTGGTTTCAAGCCCCTGTACTTGGATTCCAGATATTAGTTGTTTTTACCTCGCTGAATGATCTAAAACGCTTCGTTGCCACTATCCTTCAACCAAGAGAAGCTATGTTACCAAGTAAACAGGCCCATAGGCTTTGACACCATGAGGATTGTTAAGCTGGTCAAGACACATATAAGGTATCTCATTCTCCACCCTCTTTGAAGGGCTGAAAAGATTAGCCAGCGGTCCAGATGCTTGTCGCAGAGGCTTTGCATCGACTCTTCTGCCACTCCCAAATATAGGACCAGAAACATGACCCTTTCTTGGATTTGAAATGTGAGAGCTATTTGTTTGTTCAACGATAGGCTTGGTCTTTTTCTCAGCTTTCCACCATTTGAGGAGAGAATGTTTCCAGGAACTCCTGCTTTTCTTCTCTTCTTTCACTCTTCCTTTTCCAGATTCTGAAAGTGGTAATGAGGACTGTAGATTCATTTCTCTTGCATGTTGTCTTGCTTCTTCCAAGAACTGATCATGGTTGTAAACTTGTAAACATCGAAAGAAAAAACTAGAAGACACACTAAGAAAGTTTCTCTCGTCTGCTTAATGCCAAACAGCTACACAAAGATGCTTGAAACAGTTTGTTCAGCTAATGAGAAGTTTAGTTTTGTAGATCAATCAAGTGCTATCACACGGATACACTTGCCTTTATCCGGTATCGCATCATAGAACTTGATTTTCAGAAACCTAGAGATAATTAAGGAGACAAATGACATCAAGACAAGTATTGTCTTTCTTGCCATGTCTGAAATATTTTTCTGAATGATAAATAGTTTCTATTCTATGTTAAGAAAATAAGGTGAGAAATAAAAATTTTTTTTAAAAAAAAATGGAGCACATAAAAGAAGTAATAGCTATAAGCTCAGACAGGTTGCTTACCTGTGTAAAATCAACTTGAGGATCAAATTCGTAGGCACCATAATTGCTTGCCTCGTAGTTTTGGTATATGGGAGCTTTGTTCATGGTTTCCTGGAAATTAATCTCTGGAGTCACTAATAGAAACCAAAGCTTTCTAGATTAAATAACACAACAATCAATGGAATCACAAAAGGAACACCCAGCAAAAGAGGGGAGCCATTAATTTATTTTGTAAAGGAGGGTAATGGAATAAATGTATATTGAAGCGTAAGCAGTTGGTGATATAATTAAGAGACAAAAAGATGAAGTGAAGTTCACAATTGTCTACCTTGAGTTAATTTCTTTAGTAAAGCGAAGCAGCACAGAGAAATCAATGCAATATAAAGAAGATGAATGTCGTCCAATTGAAGTATGTCCTCTCCTCCTATTGGAAGAGAACTAACTAAAGAAGGCTAAGGCCAACTACCCTGTTGATACTTCATTAAGTTGCAGTTACAGATGCCAGAAACAAGAGCTTTTTGGTGGTTGAAATGGCTATTTAAGCTCTTGCTAATATTTGGTTAGGAAAGGACAGGTGGGTAAATTGTTTGGAGAATTCACCGTGGTCGTCATAACCTAAAGTAGCACTCTAGAATCAGCAGAAAATCTGGCGAGCTAACCGATCTTTAAGGGGAAAAAAAAAAAAAGGTGTATAAGATGGAATCATTCCGATGATTACTTTCCTTTCAATTTAAACGTACTCATTAAAGCAGGGGTGGAGCCTAACAAAGGATTTGATGCTTGTTTTTTGCTTGCAGTTATTACACTCGGCGACCAAACACCCCCTTTATAGCCTTGAAAATGGACCAAAGCGGGAACAGGAAAGGAGCCTGCCAACTAGTCTTTAAAGTTCAATCACTGGTACAATTTAATTAGGCAAATCGAAATACAGGCTCACTAAACATTAAAAAATGATGACACAAAACAAGCAATTATTATGCCTGAAAAAGAAGGAGAAAAGTATCCTTTTATCCTGTTATGGGGATTGGGGGATTTAAGGATACCCACCCCTCCATACCTGCCGCATGTTACGGACTGATCTGGGCTGTCATAGTTCTAAGGTTTTGGAGGGAGATACTTCTTACAAAGTCACAATAAAATAACCTCAAAACTGAGGTGTAGCTTGGGGGGTTTTGTAACTTGTTATGTAACCCAGTAATACAAACTCATGCTTGTTGGCCTTTGTTCTCGGTTTATCCATACCAATATCATCACGCCATAGCAGAAATGAAAAGAGGTTTTCTTTGAGTAGGCAAATTTGGTCTCCAAAACTAAGGTCCCTGCGATGGGAAAACAAACTGATCTTGTTTCAGCGTGATCACATTATCTACGGAAGATTAATCAAAATCCTTGTCCTGAGAAGCCAGCTCGGCACGACGACTAACTAGCACCTACTGATCTTCTCATGGAAACTTTATATCATTCGCTCAAATTATTTACAACATTTTGCATCCGAGCAAACTTTTTTCCCACATAGACCCTAAGAATCAATTGGTTTAGAATCATGTATGAAAAACAAAACGAACCATATGGTAATTTAACTGAAAGCTGGCCAAGGCCAAATAAATATCATTAAGCAAACCATAAATAATCGAGTGCACAGACGAGATCGCTTTTCTTTTCACTGGGCAACTGAACGTTGTATGGCAATGATCATGTTTTTGAAGTGACATTGAACGGAACTTCAAAACAAGAAAACAAAGACCTCCAAACTTAAGTGCCAAACACAAACCCCAACAAAATTGGCATTATAATAGCATCAGAAGTATGCAGACTCCATGCATTATAAAAAACTGCCAACAGTAATATTAGAAACAGTCAAGAGACCCAAGTAGGCCTCCTCAGCATCGACCTCTATACAAGATTCTGGTAGATACATGAGAAACCTAAAGGAGCATTTGGAGAGTAGTAATAGAAAACACTTGTATTTCCACTAACCCTTCTAAAATTTCCGTTGTCCAGTCTAGATTTCAAAGTTGAAGGAGAGGCAGCGCCATCACAACACCAAAGATTGAAACCAGCAACAACATCATCCAGGTTGGGAATGGCTGCTTCTTGTTTCTTCTTCCATCCTTCGGGATATCTACTCCTTTTGCATCTTCTACTGAAGAATCACCAAGTTTTTCCAATTTGGGTCTGGATTTATCTTCTTGCGAAACCTGAGATGATACCTGCTCCGAAACAAGCTTCTCCTTGTTATACTTCTCTACATACTCGGGAAACAATTTCCTGAATGCAACACTGTCATGAAGAAAATACATCAGATCCAATTAGAATTAAACAACTAATTGATTAAATTCTTGATCACAAACACAATTATAGATTCTAGCTTCAAGCGAGCTAAGAAGGCATGAGAAAAATAACATAACCATATATAGGTACAATAAACATTGAAACCTAGCTGCCTTTGTTGGAACAGATAGCAATAATGATAATAAAACAGTAGGCACATTCTGGCAATGGCTTATATGCAAAATCAAAGATAGGCATGCATAAAGGGCAACAACAACAGAGCCTTGATCCCAAACTAGCTGGGGTTGACTCTACATATCTTCTTGCAACATTCCACACAATCATAAACCAGATCCACATCAATATGTGAACCAGGTATGCATAGAGGGCAAAAGAAATGCATGGTGATTGGGGAAATGGATCCTCGGATGGTACTCATTATTATTATTATTATTACTATTATTTGGACAAAGAAACATAGGAAAGGTGTTGCACTATACTTACTTCTTACAATTGAAGGCAAGAGAGTCCTTTGCTAGGCGCCGCTTCTCAGCAGCAGTAGTGTTCACACTTCCTGTGGTAGGACTGGTGTCCGTCTTCATAGCAAAAACACATCCTTGTTTTAGACAATACTCCAGGGAAAGTGATATAAATTTAAAAATGCTCAAATTACGGGATCCCATGGAACAAACACATAGTTTTACCACCTTTTGTCATGAACCAGACGAAAATTAGAGTAACAACAAGATAATGCCAGCTACACACCCCGACCCCTCCCACACAAGTTAAAGGGGAAAAAACCAAAATAAAAATGGAAACTGTTAGCTACAAGTAAATTGAGCAGATTTGATAATTAATATCACCAAATAGTTTCTGAAGCAAGATGCAGCCTTGACAAATTACTACACTAAAAGCATTTAGGAAGCAGAGAGTCACAATTAACTCACCATGAAAGAGAGAAGCCCTGTAAGTATGCTGCAGCGATGAAATAGGAAGAATGTAAGACCAAGGATCTAAAAAAACTATTTCCTTATTATTTAGAACTAATAATCCAGAGAGGTTAAAAATTCATTAAGAATAACATTTTAAGACTAAATCTGTTATACCTTGATACAGACCACATGGGGTTCCAACTCTCTGGATGAACTGGAAAGCAACAAGCTCAAGGTAAACAAAACCAAATACCAAAGATGATCAAAAGTAAAATTTTCTAAGCATAGCAGTGTAAAGAACTTACAATCACTCATGGATAAGCATATTTTCTTTTGAGTCATGAATCGCCCGTTGGGAGTAATCATGCTGCAGAGATAAAATCACAAAAATTAGAAGCAAGCCCAATCCGAGAAAGGACACAGAAAGATGATATTCTGGAAAAACGTTAAGCAGCAAGAAAGCACATTACATGATTCCAGGAGGTTTATAGGGATACTCAGAAGGAAACTTGATTTTTCCATAGTAATATCCACCTTATCACAAGGAAGACAGAATTTCTAATTAGAATAACAAAACAAGGGATATCAAATTTTTCACTGAGCAAGATAATCACAACATTTTCTTTATCTAATATTGCATCAGCAACATAGTTAGCAAACCTGCAAAAGGTGTTCCTTCACTTCCCTCCAGCACATAATCTGAAACATCAAAGTTACATAACATCAATATCAACAAAACACCTAAGTAAATTACCGACACTAAGACCACAGAAAGCAACAGAGAAAAAAAAAGGCAGAATACAAAAGCAAACACGATGTCAAAAATATTGAAATCGCTATGTGTGACGAATGGAAGAACCATATCTCACAACCATCTGGTAAGAACCCAAAAATTTTCCTGAGAAAGCAATCTCTTCACTTTCCTAAGCTCTATAACCAACTCGTCCCCATTCCGAATAACAATTGGGCTATTTCATCATGGCATTCTTCCTAATGCCAACCTGTACTTCCAGTAGGAGAAATGACATCTCAATATATTACCAGACAAGGCTGTAAAATCTGTATTTTTCATTCTTAAGAATGCAGAGTATCTTTTCCATAATCTTGAGCATTTTCTTCATGTATTTACTGGAGGAGAAACAACTCCATGATTGTGAACTAATCAAGCAAATCAGTAATGAACAGAAAGTAATCACAAGTGTTTTGCATCAACTTTTCCACATAATGTTTTGAGTTTGAACGAGTCCAAAGACACAAACTTCAGTGTTTCAGCTGTTGCTTCCACTATCTTGAATGTCATGCTTCTTCTGCCAAATCTTCGGTGACATTTGAAGCAATTCTAAAAAATAATTAGATATTTGTACTTCCTTTTCCCTAAATTTAGATTGCAATAAATCTAGGTCACCATTCATGTTCACAAGTAGATGGAGGAAAAAGTTCAGACTATATATATATATATATCTTCATTTGAAAAATTCAACGAAAGGAACAAAGATTAAGTAGAACTTACGCCATTCAAGAATGTCACTTGGGGAAGGACGGGCAACAACATGAGAGACTGGTTCCTGCAAATTCATTATTATTAAAAAAAAAAAAAAAAAAATCAATCTCAAACGATAAAAAGAAACAAAATGAAATGAAGCTTCATCCAGCAGTAAAGGATTGGCATTTGGCACTACAGAGACATTCGATTATTTTGACTATCAATAAAAATCCAGTAGAAAAGGTAACAATCAACCAGTAGATACACACCCGTGTCCGTGTGATCTAAAAACGAAAATAAGTTACAAAGTAAAGCAGCATATGAAAATAATGCATAATCATCTATCACAAGAGACTAAACTGTATCCAAAGATGTATCCGCAATTCCCTAACGAAAGGAAAGCCCTAGATTGACAAACTAACATTTTATCACAACAGGTAACATTGACAACGTCAAACTCTACTCTAGCCACATTAATTCACTATGATGATATTAGGAAATAGCATAAAATGGACTACATGACATTAAAGGAAAAAAAAAACATACTTTACAGAGAGCTCTATATTCCTTCTGGAGTCGCTTGACACAAGATTTCTCAGCCATGAATTAGCTTAGCTACCTCCGTTAATTTATTTATTTATTTCCTTTGAAAACCCACAACTAGGTGCGTCGGTATATGCTGGATGGTAAAGATACAGAGTTAAAGAAATTTATTATAATACAAAAATAATCAACTACTTCCGAGTAAATCATAGATTCTTATTATTATTATTTAAAAAAAATAGGCAAGAAAACCATAAGGAATTTTTTTTTAAAAGGAAGTTAAAGAATTAATCGAAGTTAAAAAGATGGATCAAATCAGAAACCTAGCTGAAAATTAACAGACAAAAATAATAGTAATAGTAAAAAGAGACGGAGAAGAAGACGAGGAATTGAAATGATACCTTTTTGTTTATTTAGAATAGATCAGATAACAATTGAATCCAATTTAAGAGTCAGATGTCAGAAACCAAAACTGTAACGAACAATCGAACTAGAAGCTAAGAGGAAAACAAGCGTAACGGAAAAGGAGAGAGAAGGGGATTGAGATTGTACGATTTATGTTTTTTTTTATATATATAATTAATGATTTTTCAAAGGATAAATGCTGTCAATATGATTGGACCGTCGTCGGTGACATAGCTCATAAGACTGGATGCTGGCCTAGGCTTGTAGAGGAGGCTGACTACTGGGCCTTGTTTTCCCATTTTGCATCTATAATTTATTTTTATTTTTATTTTCAGGGGGTACGACTTTTTTTGAGTTTATTATTTTTTGTATTTTAGAAGACAGGGTTGAGTACTATTCGTTTGAAATTAAAAAATTGAACCGAATCGAATTAGTAATTTTAGCTTTATTTTATATAAAAAATTTGAAAAAAAAATCAAAATTATTTTAGATTAGTTCTTTTTTAAAAAAAAATTCGATTTTCATCAAAAAAATAAATTAGTGGTTTTTTTTAACAGATACACATAAGGCTCCTAATAAAACTAGTTGATATAATTTGAACTCATGACTCGTGGTGGTCATTTGGTTTTTTTATTCGATTTCGGTGTTTTTTTTTTCGTTTTTTGTTAACCGAATTGGCTAAAACAAAAACGAAACCAAACCGAATTGAAATTCGGTATTTCAATTAAAAAACCAAATTTTTCAGTTCGGTTTTCGATTAAAAGCTGATTTTTATTTTATATTTTTTTATTTTTGCATTTTTCTTCTAAAAATCGAATTATTTTGCTTTTAAAAAATATCGAACTTGCATAATCAAATATTGCATATTTGAAATTTAATTTTATAAGAAAATTGTTTAAGATTATTATTATTTTTTATACTAAATTTGTTTATATTTACATTATAAACTAAATTAGTTGGGCTTCTCATTATTTTTTCAATCATGCTACAATTGGTTTTTTATTAATTTTCTATATTTTTTTTAATCTACTTATTTTGTGCATATTTTATTGTTGAATAGATAATATGAAAAATTCAATTTTTAATTTATGTTTAGTATAAGCATAAAAAGAGTGAAAAACTTATTATTGTTAGTTGTTATTAATACTACTATAGTCCTATTATAAATGCAGTGGCTTTGGGTCAATTTTTTTGAAGGATGTTTTTGTGCCAATTTTAATACAATAAGACAATTTTTTTTCCATGAGGTTTTAGAATTCACTCAAACATAAACTTGTGTATTTATAAAAAATTATTTTATCACAATTTTTTTTTATTTGTTTGTGAGTCAATATAATATAATCAATTATTTTATTATTTCAAAAAATAATTAATGAAAAATATTTTTATTTTAAGTAGAAAAAAAATCATTAAAGCTATTGTTCTTTTAGTTAAACCCATATGTGCCTCTTTTATTTTTTATTTTTTTAAAAAGAGCTTGGTTATGTGTTTAAAAAAAAAACTAATTCGATTTTCGGTAGAAATCGAATTTGAAAAAAAAAACCAAACCGAACCGAAATAATTTTGGTTTTCGGTTTTGGTTTTTTTTTTTCAAATTTTTTTAAAAAAATCAAACCGAAATTGCTAATTTGGTTCGGTTTGATTTGGTTTTTCAGTTTTAACCGAATAATGCACACCTCTACTCGTGACCTCTTCCAAGAGACCATTATCGCTATGTTACAAGCTCTTTGATACCAAATTAGTTAGGAATGAGCATCATTCAAGCTCTTATATCTAAATTTTCGATAGATAAGAGATCGGATTCTAGCTATAGCATTTTTTTATGACTTTCCTTGCTAAAACTTCAATTCAAACTATTAACATTTCTTGAAAATTTAAAAAAATTACAAAAAAGTCACCTTTCAGCTTAGTTCAAAAGAAAATTTAAAATTTAGAAGAAAAGATGTCAAAAAAAAAATCGATTTTTAATCCAAAACTGAAATATTGAACCGAAAAATTTGATTTTTTAACTAAAAAACCAAACCTCAATTTGGTTCGATTTCGGTTTTTGTTTTAATCAATTCGATTAATCAAAACTCAAAAAAAAAAAAAAAAAAAAACTAAAATCAAACAAAAAAATCGAATAATCACCCCTAAAAGAAGGGGAAAAAAATACAACATCTAAAATTGCATAAACCTGTCGAGTCGTTGTAGTTTTGCGTCATACAAACTGGGTTGGGTTGGTTTGATCCCAATTCATCTGTCACCATACATTTCATAAACAAGATAATCTTTACGCATTATTATTTTTATAGAAAACCATGTTTTTATGCATACTCTAAGAAAGAAAGAAAGAAAGGAAAAATGGTACAAAACGCCATTTGCAAATATAAAATTCTCTGCGATGCCTGCATCATAATAAATTTAAGCTGTGTTGGATGAAACAAAATAGTTTCTGGGCATGGTTGGCCAAAGCATCACCATTGAAGAAGCTTTTGCAGTTGAAGACCACGTTGCCACATACAACACTGAAACTTTTGCAGCTGAACCATCTGCCAGGAACAGCTGTTACCAAGCATGTTTGTCAAATTTATAGATCCAACACTCTGCCATTGTCCCTGTCCTTGGAGCCTGAAGCTCTGCCTAATGCCCTAATCACACAATATAATACTAACCCTTTTAGCTTCCCCAAATGGACTAATACTGAGATCACGTGATAAACTCACATGACCCTCTTATAAATATTTTACCAAAGTAATCAAAACGGGGTCACAGTCACTAAACATGCAACAGTCAAAGTATAGCACATGATCCCACTACTATCGTCTATCAGATCCCAATTTAGATTTTTACTAGTAATTTACTAAGAAAAAAAAAGCTGTCAGGTTAGGTATAAATCTCTTCTACTTATACTAACAACTACATGACTAATCTCTTCTATCACATCATATCAGAGACAATTTTCAGTTCACCACTCACCAAGTAACGGTGCCACAACTTTGAGTCAAGCACAAGAGCAGCACACCGCAACAACAATGAAGGCATACTCTATTGCACTGGCTGCTCTTGCTCTTCTACTTTCACTACTTTTATTTCCCTGGTTAAACAAAGCTCAAGCAGAGGGTCGTCCACTGGCACCACCATCTTCCACTTCAGTGTCAAGCAAGGCTTCAACTTCACAAACTTTCAGAGATTTGCAGGCAGATAGGAACCCGTTTAAGAAAGTTGGCTCAAGCTTCAGAAGAATACCTCCAAGCGCTTCGAACCCCATACAGAACAAGTAACTTGCTAGAGCAAACAGTTTCAACTTTCAAGACCTTTTCTTTTCCACCATTTGCAGTTTTCCCGCAATTGATTTAGATACCCTGTTTTTTGTCCCAGGTGCAAGCCCCTTGGCGGCCAAAGGAATCGCAAACCAGAAGAATCAAAACCTCTGCAGCATTGAGCGTAGTTACTCTTCTTCTTTTTTTTTGTTTCTTTTTCTCCTTTTTTTTTTTTTTTTTTTTTTTTTTTTTTTTTTTTTTTTTGGGGTACCATTCATTCATTAATACCGTTTTTATGTAGAATAGCGTTTATGTCAATAGCCAAATGTAGCTGCAGTTCATAATGCATTTACAACTTTTTGCTACCGTAGGCAGAGACAATTTAGTTTTGCAGTAAAATGCAAACCTATAAATCTCTTATATGTGAAGTATATGATAATGCCATCTGTTCTTTGAAAGGGTATACAATTCATACATTCCAGTCTAAACAAAACACTCTTTAGAGTGAATAAACTTTGAACTTAAAAGCAAGAACAAAGATACTATAAAACAAAAATACATTCCAGTATAAAATTCATAAGTACTTGAACAATCTTTGCAAATAGATTACTACTCTGTATGCTCTATGCAGAAAAAGTGAGGCATTACAAAAGTGTCAAAATTAGAGAATTCATACTGTCAAATTTTTTGCTTTCTTGAAGCTTTAGATGGCTCCTCTTGTCTGTGTCGTTTGTTCTTCTTCATGTCAACAGATAGAAACGGTTTCCGATTAACACCAGTTGCTGTTTCAGAGGCACCACCATGATCCTTCTTGTTCTTCCTGTTTTTCACTTTCATGATATCGTCAACCACAGTGTGTTTTGCATATTTCTCAGATGAGGCCAAATGATGATCAATCTCTTTCCTCACATTCTTTAATCCTGTTGTGAGTGATACGCTTTTGGAAGTATCAGCAAGGAAGGAGTCGCTTTTTGATGACTTGGTCTCACTAGATCCAAATGCAGCATGAAATTCTTTGTAAGTTGATTGTTTCGATGCTTGTCTTGATCTCCACTGATCAGGCCGGTTAGCATATCTGTCAAATTAAAGCAAAGGCAACAACAAACAGAGATCAAACACAGTAGTCAACTGTCAAAATCCAGCCAACAAAGTTAAATGCTCCATAAGTATCAACTACGAACTTGTTTCCCTATTGCATACTGCCCCAGTGCCCATGTCAATTAATGTCTGACAGTGGTCCCAACTCAAGTCAGGACAAACCAGAAGAATTTTATCATAGTTATTACTACCCATGAAGAAATGCAAAAGGTAAATAGATCTCATACAAGAACTGAACACCTTAGGAACTCAATTTGAAACCAAAATACATAATGTAGCTTACCCATCAATATCCAATTTTCTCAAGAGGTAAGGACCTTGCTTTGTCTTGGCAAGCTCACTTTGCACGGGCAGCAATTCTGATGCTATGGCCTCTCTTAGTGACAAATTACTGGCATTGAAGCACTTTTCAACTGTAAATGAACCAGAAGAGTGCATTGCAAGCTCTCCAAAATGTCCCCGTAACCTTCAGAAGTTGAGAGTAATCAACATAAAACAAAGAAAAAATTTGACATGAATAAGCAGCTAATTAGAAAATCCAAGTATTCAAAATTGATTCAAACTAAGAGTTACATGTTGAATTCTCAAAGAAGCATGTGAACTCTGAATCCTTGATAATCCAAAAACAGAGATATAAAGTCGATGTTGTCAAAGAACATAGTATATTCAAGATTGACTTTGCATCACATAGCACCCAAGGTAAAATGGCCATTCTTACTTGAACTTTGTTCTAAAAGAAAGACATTCATGGAGTGAAGGAAAAACAATAACACTTTAAGGCATGAAGGAAAAAATACAATTACAAAATTGAAAAATAATTCTAACATAATTAAACTAGAAAATATAAAACTTTTACCCCAAAGTTACCTTCTTCTTTTTTCCCTTTAGCAATTCCTTGGATTAATGTTCAACCAAAAATAAAGGAAGTAGGGAGCAATAAAAACTTCAGAAAAAGATAAACAACCAATACTGTGGCATGACATACTTATTGATTAATCTGTGCTTTTGTTTCCCAGATGCATCAGAATCCAGAAATGCTTCAATTGTACGAGCTCCACCTGTATCCTTTGCAGCTTCAAAGATATGGTCAACTTCCATGGATGTGAGACTTGTAATATAATGCTGTATGAGTTGCTGTCAAAAAACCAAATATACAACGTTAAAATGAGGAATTAAAAGATTGCCACAAATCTCCAATAGAAGCCAATTATCTTAACTGCACATGTTGGAAGCGCCTGGTATACCATGATAAACTGAGATAAACGTGAATCACAATGCAGTAATGCACTTCTAAGCAGCCAAATCACAAGCAGCACATTCAGGATTTTAAACATTACCTAGTTCCAGAATAAGTTTTTAAAGAGAAACATCAACGTACAAATGCATGCATGCAAGCTTGTTGTGCGCATAAATATAGTCAAGCACATGAAAGCATGAGTCAAAACAATACGAGGATAGAGAGCAGGGAGTTCAGGGATGGCCAATTCCTAACCCTGTCCTGCTTCATACAATCAGGAACTTTTTCTTTGTTTTTTGGCTCCTGGAATTGACCAACCGCAAGTGTAGATATCAGGCAAAAAGACAACATACATTTTGAAATTTAAAAACTGCCTGCAGAATCAGAGAGCCCATAATGTGGATCTTGGCACCACTTGGCCACTTCCAGTTGGATTTGTCCTCACAAGCAAAGTAACTTTCAAGAAAAAATATTCGATGAACAGTGAATCTTGGAGACTCATTTGGCAAGCATACTGCATCGGAAAGGGCCTTACAGACCTACAACAAACAAGCAACACGAACAAATGACCATCATGGTGAGAATGACAAAATGTACATGTATATATAAAAATCTTGACAAATTTAATTTCTTTCTTTCTTTCTTTCTTTCTTTCTTTCTTTCTTTCTATACACACACACATGCGCGGAAGTGTAAGAATCAACCACAAATTCCATTTCAACAACTCGACAAAAGATCTTCAATTTTTTTTTCCTTCTTAAATTATTTCAGAATTTTAACACATGCAAGTATTGAAATAAAAAATGTCAAACAAGAAATGGTGTTTTGAGTAATAAACCTCATGTTCATGTGTATGAAGCCTTTGACTTGCAGCAATAACAGATGCAATAACTCCTGACTTCCCCATTTCAAGAAGATCCCTAAATTTTGGACCAAGTTCCTCCCAGATAAACTCCATCTAGTAGTCAAGATGAGAAAAACACTCCATCAGAACTCAAAGACACCATTACTTTGCCACAGTATCTTACAGCACTAACATTGGTTGTTGAATGAAAGTATAATACTTAGTTAAATATAGCAAAATTCTACAAGGCCATCAATGTACATGAATAACTTGAACTAATGAAAGGACAACTTCCCATAATATTACAACCTAATCTTAGTGCAAAAAGGTAAGAGGTGTGCTGAGATTTTGTCAAGCATTCATTAGGTGAGAAGTAAGAACTGCAGGACTGAGTTGAGAGAGATGCAATCTTATAGCACATACTTGTTCCCGATCTCTAGCATGAGAAACTAAGGCTTGAACAACGAAATTGCCACAATGATGGGATGAAAGCTCAAATAGCGATTTCCTGAAAATTTTTGTGAACATTTCATCATACAAGCTTTCAGGACTCACTGCCAGGATTACCTGCAGATTGGGGAAAAATTTTAAATAGTCAAATTTAAGAAAAGCTTCTGTGTGGAGAGAGAGAGTACAATAAAAATGTTCACATATTTCAGCATACTCCTTGATGACAATGAGTGATTATCCAAAACCCTTCACATAACAGGTTCTTAAGCATGTATGATAGCGTTAAAAGCAGGAAAAATGCATAGAACTTGCAATGCTATGGCAGCAGCAATATTCATTACCATGATTGCTTTAGCAACAAATCAGATAAGCGTGTTACCTACGAAAAAATGGAGAAGCTTTGGCTTTTCTTTCCCATATTAGTGCAATCAGATAAACACAAAAATAAGAAAGTTGGCAGTCATGCGTTAGGGACTTGATGTGCACAGTAGCAGAGCGATGTCATAAGAGGACACCTTCAGATACTAGACATTTTAAAATTGTTTAAAGGAAACATGACAAAAGTCGCACCAGGGAGACAAATCTGTAGCTTAAAAATTTGGTTATTATGGAAAGTTTTTAGCTTTTGGGATCATAATTGTGGTTGTAAGAACCAAATCATCAGGAAGAGTCTTCCTTGTGGAATTTTTTCATTTAGACAAATCTCGAAAAAGTGTAGAAATACATGCACCTTAACTAGGTGCACAATGTAAAAACAATCAAGTTGATGTGGATACAATTTGGGAATATATCGTGATAAATAGGATTCATGTGCCATATTCATGGATCACAATAATTTACCACACTAACGATTCACATTGATATGTTACTCACCTCCATTAGGTGGCTATATGCAGTTTCTTTCATTGATTCAACAATGTCACCAACTGTTCCCATTTCTATGAAGTTTCCTTCTGTTGAATTTTCTTTTCTGCAACCAAGTAGGATCGGAATTATCTGCAACAACTCTTGATCATGCCCTGCTAATAAATTCAAAGCTGTCTGCCAAGAGCAAAATGCCAATTACATATCATGACAGGAAACAGAAATTTTTACAACTCAGACAAATCTTCTGGAGATTTTGCCTCAGCTGAGAACTCCTGAATCAAGTAATAGTCATTTAATCCTCTTATAAGGAGATTCAATAAGCAACCACACAAACTTGCTTACTTTGAAATAAGAGGGGGAGAGGGTGCAAAGTAATATAATAAGAGGGCAAAATTTCCAACATGCCTGCAAAACCAAACTGCTGTACTGATCAACTAGAAGAGTTTCCAAGTCTTCTTCACTACATTTCAACATTCCTGATACAAGGAACTTAAGTAAACCAGGAAATCCTCCCTGAAGATGTGAGGAATTATTCCCGTGTGCTGAAGAGGTGCTTAGGTTCAAACGCTCTGCCAGAATCGTTGATGGTTTTGCTCGATGGAATATCGGGGAATCTAATGGCACTCCTCCACAAAGACAAAGAAGACTTCGGAAAACATGTGATCCATAGCAATTACACATCATATCAACAGGACTGGCTACAATTACCTGACAAGTATCAATCATATACAAAAGAATTTAACATTAAATTCATAGCAATTACATGTTTACGGAATTCATTACAGTTACCTGACAAAGATCAAATCGTAGAAAAAGAAAAGTATGTGTCTTTAAAAATTCTTAGTTTCCTTAGGCATAAACTTCTTTTATCCGTTCCTATTCAAATACAGAAAATATTAAGCCTTTTTTTTTATTCCATTTAGCAGCATAATAATATTCAGTCTTTGTGCAAGTCGTAATTGTAGGGGAAAAAAACCCAACTGAAAGTGCACAACGTATTGAAAAAGAGCAAGAATATAAGTGAAGCGTGATCCAAGGATCTAAAAGTCTTCCTGTTAGAACAGTAAAAAATATCACCTAATTAATACCTTGCATATATTAGTTAGAGTCTCTTCAATAACAGAATAAGCCTCATCGTCCTGAAGATGCATAGCTAAAGACTTAAGAGCTGTCTCAGCAACATGAGAACCGGACCTATCCATTGAAATTAAAGGAAAAACCTTCGCAGAGCCTCGGAGGAAGTCACAAAGATGATCCACATCACAGCCCTCGAGGAGGGTTTGCAGATAGTGGCTTATATAATAATCAGTTGCCAGTTCAAATTCTTTTCCTCTAGCTTCTTCAAGAGCATTACCACATATAACCGGACGCTCCTCCAAATCAACTCCACCACTTTCAAAAAGATTTGCAATCTCTGAAAAATATTTTGTTGTTTCAGGATCGATCTGTTTCCTATAAGCAAATTCAACTCGCTTACATTCTCATAACAGCTAAAAAAAGCATGATAAATGAAAAGAGATTGCCTAGAAAACAAAGGCAAAGCAGGAGGTACTATACCTTATAATTGATGGTTGTGGCTCTGATGAAGTATTGTGATTCTTAGACCATTTTTTGGGTTTTGCAGTTCCATAGGCCACCCGCCCGGATACATTTTTGTTAGAATTATCAGCATCAAAACCAAAACTTTCTTTCTTGGCCTTCCTGCCCATACTCTTTTTGTTTCTACTCTGATTATATGATTTATCCTCCCTGCCCATTACGTTATCTTCCACCAAATTACAAATCCTGCCTCTTCTTGATAGCAAAGCTTTTGAACCAACGGAAACCATACGCACCCTGGCAGCAAGGCTTGCCTTCTATACGGTAAACCAAAATAAATTAACAGGATTGAAGAAAAACAATCAACTGAGCAACATAAAACCCACCTTAAACCCTAACTGGAGTGGCAGCAGAACTTATCGCCGTTTGCTTTCAAACGGTGGCGTCTCCTGCTGAGGCTTTTGGCCCATAATATTTCACGTTTTCTTGGGCTCTTTACTTACCATTTTTTTTTTTAAAGCTTGTTAACGATTGAGGGTTCTTAGCCCATTACGACTCGAGTTTTGACAGGTTTTTTCTTTATTCTTTTATCCTTGTGATACGTAGTTTGTAAATGGCGCCTCTGGGACTGGAAGTAGGCTTTTTTTTTTTTTTTTTTTTTGGTTTCCTCATCTACATCTTGCAAGTTGGTTTTAAACATTACCTGATAGCTTTTTATCATTTTGGTCGATCTGTCTAATTTGAAGTATCTATTTGAGAATGAAAATGTGATTATTTGCAAACATATCGACGGGATATAGATATTGATATGGGTTTTCTCTACATTTGAATTGTGCATTTTTAAAATTTTTTTTATTGAAACTCTTTTTTTTTTTTTTAATTTGATTAAGATTTTATATTCTTCAAGATTTTTTTATTTCAAACCATTTGTTATAATGCTACCAATTAGATATTGACACGCTATCTTTATTTTTCGAAATTTCTTATTTTTTAATATCATTGATTATTGATTGATAGTATTATAACATAAGGTTCTTGAAATTAAGCCATAATTAAGTAAATTAAGAGAAATGTTTAGTCCTAATTACCTGGCAATATGATTACATAATTTTATGCCTCTTTCTTTATGGCATTTGTGTTCCTCGTTGGAACCAACAAAGCATGCAAGCAAACAACACTTTAAACCCTTTCACCTTCACAAAAATTATGTAATCACTTAAATGAATAATAATTAAAATTGTAGAGTAAAATCAAATGACACTAAAATCTAAAACGTAGAAAGTAATTAATGTATACTAATCAATGAAGCTACAAAATATTAACTTAGCTAAAAATGGGTTTTAAGCAAAATTCATAAAGTATCACATATCAAGGCTCGGATAGAAGAGGGGGTTGGAGATCGGTTTTGGGGTTGGCTAAGTGGTCGGGATAGGTGGAGGGGTTGGCGGCATGGTTGGGACGAAAGGAGGAGCAACGACCAATTTTTGAGCGATGGAAGAGAGGGAAGCTGGAGGAGGAAGAAGAGTTTTGTCGATTTAAGGATTTTTTTCAGCGAGTTGACATAATTCTATCGCTAAAAAATAAGGGTCTATCGCTGTTTAGTTTTTTAAAATTAAGCTATTTTTTTACTTTCTAGTGACATACTCAATTTCTTTGCTAAAAATATTTTTTTCACTCGTTTATTTTTTAAACTCGGGCCATTTTTTCTCTTAATTAGCAATAGAAAACATCATCCGTCATAAAAATCCGTCGTTAAATCATGTCGTGCCCGAAGTTAAAGACAAAAAAATCATCCCTCGTTGTTTTATTTTTTAAAAACATTGCTCCTTTTTTTCACTTTTTATTGAAGGACTCCATACCATCAATAAAAATATGATTTTTATCGTTGTTTGTCTTTTTTAATTCGGCTATTTTTTGAAAAACATCATTTGTTGCTGAAATCTCTCGCAACTCAATTGGTATTCCATCACCGACTTAATCAAAAAAATTTATCGCATAATTCAATAATGATAGTATTTCATCACTTATATTTTGTCATTAATTAGTTGGTATTCCATCGTTATTAACCAAAAATATCAAAAAAATTATCATAGTCGTTAATCTTTCATTAATTTGTCACTATATGCCGACAACTTCACATTTGTCACTAATTTCGTCATTATTTAGCTATTTTTTTTGTAGTGACATCACTCGAGCAAAACCAAGTGTAAACATGAAAAATAAAAGTCATCTATCTCTTGTCATGTCAATCATATAGACAAATCGGTAATATATCTAACTAACCACGATGATATATCTAGATGAAAAATGTCATCTTACGAGATTCAATAGTCTTCACAATAAGCCATATGTGTCACAAGATTCCTTCATTGGCCTAATGGCATACCATGGAAAAACTTGAAGGACAGGAATCACGTTTGGGAAATAGTTGGGGGAATGCATTTACACCATCGAGAGAACATTTTATAAACAAACTTGATCGGCTACATGCGAGAGAATAAAACCAGACCTCCATTGGTTAAAAGAGACGGATAGTACATCCAATAATGAGAGCACACTTTCTAGGCTACTTTTGTCCGATCCGCACAAAAAATAAAGATATTATGCTATTCTAACAGTTGACTTATTAACACCATGAATTAATATTTATCCAACTAGTATAAGAAGTCGTTGGCAATAAACAAATGGATTATTCTATCCCTCTTTTCATGTAACTTGATAATTTTTTAGCTATATAAACAACCAATAAATTTGAGATTAAGAGTTATGTATCTCTTCTCTCACTACTATTGTTCATACCGCATCATAGCCTTCTCATGATGAAATATTATGGAATTCGATTTCGCCTACCAAGCCACTAAGACTTTTGTGAAGAATTAGTTTTAAAAAAGAGTAATAAAATAGAAAGAATTATATCAATTGGAAGAGACAAAATTCATTAAAAAAAAATGTAAATAACATAAATTCAAAAATATGACACTTACATCATTAGCTATCAAGATATATGATGCCATCTTGACATATCAATGCTTCCTAAGTTATAAAGATGAAATTTTTGAAAGCAATAAAAAACCATCGCACTATTTACAAAAAAGTAGGAACTAACTATTACATGGTAAAGTAAGGAAATTGAATAAACTTGTGTAAGAAGTCTTATGTTGTTGATCGCGTGTGATTCCGTTGTTCCTCCTTCCTTAAATAGCTCTTGATAATTGCCTTTTATTTAAATTTAAGCGATAACAATTATTTGGTAACTCGTCCTTTTGTTTTTTCGTGTATATTGTCTTCGTCGAAGTCGGCTTATTGTAGGACTAAATACATCGTTTTATTTAAATCTTATGATTTCGTTGAAACTCGGTTGGTTATACTACCAAACTCATCGTTTCACTCAAGACTTAATGCTCCGTTGAAACCTAATTAGTGATCGGACCAAACGCATCGTGTCATTAAAGTTTTAAGACTTTAATTTTTTCATGTAACTTGATAATTTTTTAGCTATATAAACAACCAATAAATTTGAGATTAAGAGTTATGTATCTCTTCTCTCACTACTATTGTTCATACCGCATCATAGCCTTCTCATGATGAAATATTATGGAATTCGGTTTCGCCTACCAAGCCACTAAGACTTTTGTGAAGAATTAGTTTTTAAAAAGAGTAATAAAATAGAAAGAATTATATCAATTGGAAGAGACAAAATTCATTAAAAAAAATGTAAATATCATAAATTCAAAAATAGGACACTTACATCATTAGCTATCAAGATATTCGACGCCATCTTGACATATCAATGCTTCCTAAGTTATAAAAATGAAATTTCGAAAACAATAAAAAACCATCGCACTATTTACAAGAAAGTAGGAACTAACTATTACATGGTAAAGTAAGGAAATTGAATAAATTTGTGTAAGAAGTCTTGTGTTGTTGATCGCGTGTGATTCCGTTGGTCCTCCTTCCTTAAATAGCTCTTGATAATTGCCTTTTATTTAAATTTAAGCGATAACGGTTATTTGGTAACTATCATTTTGTTTTTTTGTGCATATTGTCTTCGTCGAAATTGGCTTATTGTAGGACTAAATACATCGTTTTATTTAAATCTTATGATTTCGTTGAAACCCGGTTGGTTATACTACCAAACTCATCGTTTCACTCAAGACTTAAAGCTCCGTTGAAACCTAATTGGTGATCGGACCAAACGCATCGTTTCATTAAAGTTTTAAGACTTCGTTGAAATTTGGTTGGTTAGTTATAAGATCAAACGCATCATTTTATTAAAGACTTAAGGCTTCGTCGAAATCTAATTGGTTTACAAGACCAACCGCACAATTCCACTCATGTTTTATTGTTCTATCATAAGAAGATGTCATACTTAATCGACACATGACCTTGAATTTTAAAGTACCAACGAGTCATTAAATAGTCTTTCATCCAACTAAGGAGATTTATTTTGTAAGTATTCTATCCAAGCATGACAATCATATTAGAAAATAATATAAAATCATTCATTTAAACATTTAAATTGAGATTTTTTTTATATCGTATTAGAATCTTGATAACCAAAAGTTCATGAGTTCAAACTCACCCTCTCTATTTTTTTAATTAAAATTAAATAATTAAACACAATATAATAGTAAGTTTATATAAGTTTCAAGTCTTTTTTTTTTTTTTTGTACTTGAAGAAAATATGAGTTAAAAAATAATATAAAATATTTTCTGAAATTTTACCGAATAATTTATAATTTAATTTTTTTGGGAATAAACAAATATATTGTTATACTTTCAACAACAATTAAAAAAATCACATCATCTTTAGAGGTTAAACAATCTCATCGTATCGTATGGGTCGTTTTCATTTTTCTTTAATTAGCTTGGCTATTGAATTTAATCCAGAAGGAGACAGAAGCATGAAACACGAGTACGCTTGGGACCGTTAGCGTTGCTAAGACGAATCCTCGTTATTGTTTGGCTGGTCCATGGGACAATATTTTGTTTATCGGTCGGAATCTGTATAATCGTGATTTGAGGTGTACCATAGGCGAAATTAGTGGCAGATGACTAGCTAGATCTAAGGTACAGTTGTCATTCGAGCAGCATCAAAGCGTCTGGTGGGGTAATGGCAGCTACTGATATTTTTTGTCCTTACGCTGTCGACCACGTTTCTTTTTGAATTATACAGCCAAACAAGGGGCAGCTCTTCGAATTTTATGTACTAGTACACTGCATTTTTTAATAAGTGATTGGTTCCTTAATCAATCCCAACTACATGTAAAATCTCAACCGTTAATTAATGCTTGTAAGTTTTGTTCGGAGCTTCCATGGTCAATCTCTTAGATGTATTTGAATGTATAAAAATAAATAAGTGTATAAATTTTTTTTTAAAAAAAGATTTTGAATGTTTTATTTTATTTATGGACAAGTAAAAATATTATTTCAATAGAAAAATAGCATTTAATGGTATTTTGATAAAATATATGAGGATTAAAAACTCAATGAATTAAAAATTTTCTATTCAATCAGGTCATTTTGTAGCAAACAAATCTACAAAACTAAAGGAATTTTTTTTTAAAAAAGCCACCAATATGACCTATGTGGTTCTAGGAGATTAAGGATAACTGAATTTTCTATTAAACAAGGTAATAATATTTATAACCAATCATCCATGGGTGATCTTCCATCTATTACTAAGGTAATGCACCTTTTTTTTTTAAAATGTCTGTGACTGTATGCTTTCGATCTTAAAAGACCCTTTCCTAGGGTCTCCTATTCATTAAAAAACAACACTTTCCAGCAACAATTGAAAGCATGTAGCCAGGTTGTCTGACGTTTGTTTTATTTACAAAGGTATATCAACACATTATTGAGAATTTCAATTTCAATTATTTTGTTGTCCATTGAGGATTCAAGGTATAAAAAATGCAGAGGCATCTTGTTTCTGTTTTTCAGTACGTCTTTTTTTGGTTTATAGAGTATCATGGTCAATGCTTTTTAAGAATGATCCTGAATTAGGCAATCATGATCAATTAGCCTTACCTATCCTTCGATTCATGATATCAAATCTAAGCATGCATTTAATTAGATAAAATTTGGAAATAAGGCAATTTAGCTATCCCTTCCTTTGGCAGGTCACTAGTTAAATGCTCAAGTCTTTTAGTCTCATATAAACATAATTATTCAAGCACAAAGAAAGCATAAACTAGTCTCACCGACACTTGACACAACTAAATTATTTACGCCTTCTTAATTGATATTCAAAAGCTGTCCATGACAATCGCGCTTGGTGTTTGCTGTAAAGCAAGGAGCCAAAGAAGCTTTCGTTTTATTGGCGTCGACAGCAATCTGATAACATATTAAGTGCCATTCCAATTTTGGTGTAAAGATCTACCCCTCCGAAAGCGGGGAGACAAAAATGGGCCTAATTAAGGGAAGAAAGTGACTTTAAATTAGTTTAATTAGGTAAAAAAGATCCACTTTCTTTCTTTATTTATTTTTTAATATATACGGAGTATCTCTTTTAGCAAATAGGAGCAACCACATACTTCTTTTAATCTTTTAAAAGTAGAGGTTAGAGCATCGATTAACCATGGATGGCGAGACGATGTTACCTCTTTCCAGTTTCCAACTGATAAGTGGCACCTACGATTGCTTTTAATTAGCATCCGAAGCTTCAACAATCTTCTGCACTGTCTTTAACATGAAATTATACATAAAATTAAAATAAAATATGATTTTATTATTTAAAATACTATTTACACACTCAGGTTTTTTTTGTTTAGGAAAAAACAAGTTTCGATTAAAAAAGAGGAAAATATTTCCTTCTTACGAATTGTCTCGCTCTCGTATTATTGATCTCTCTCGTGATATCTTTTAATAATTTTTTTCTCTATTTTCTTTTTATTTAAAATATATCAAATTCATTTTTAATTATTCTTTATCAATTATTATTAATTATTTAATTATATTTTCTCTCGTTTCTACTAATATTTAAATAGCTTCTTCAGGAATTGATTTTCCTATGGAAAATCATTATTCACATACTCGCAAATCATTACTCCTTTCACTACTTATGTCATTTTTTTAACACTTCGGTTCTTAATTTTTCTACACACACACACACACACACACACACACACACACACACATATATATATATATATATATATATAATTTCAAACTTAATTGTATTGTGATTTGGTTCCATTTGGTTTTAGTATTTTGTTTTAATTATTTTTATTATTTAAAATTTACTACTTTAAATTGTCATTTTTTTTAATATAGTCATCTTTTATTAATATTATGATCATATTATAATAATATTAATTTTCTACACTAAGCATTTACTATTTATTTATTTATTTTTGAATTAAATAATTAAAATAATGTTTTGGCCTAACCACTCAATGATTCAAATTAATATAGTTTTTTATTTTAATATTATTCATTCTTTTGTAAATAAATATATAAAAATTAAATTCATATTTTTTCAAAAATTGATATTATCATCAATATTAAATAAAAAAAATATTTGTTCAATTCTATGTAAGCTTTTAATAATTGTTATTTATATTTTTCAAGACAACCTTATGAAATACTAAAAAGTTTTTAGAAAATTTTATTTAATTTTCTTTTTAGTTAATAATCCATAGATTAAAAAGGATAAATCCTTTTTCTTAAGGAAAAACTATGAAAAACACAAATAAGAAATAGTAAAATACAAATGTTTTTATTAAAAATTATAAATAATTTTTTTAACCTTTGATTTTATATATTTTTATAGATTTATATTATAAAATAAATTATTAAACTAAAATAATTTTTTTAAATAATTTTATATATTTTATCTAATCCGTAATATAATACAAATAAAAAAACTAATAAATGGCTAAAGAAAAATGGTATTCCAATTACACTATTTACCCTTTGGTTTTTTTATTGCCCATGTATACACCAGTTCGGTCCAGTTTACACAAAAGATCATTTAAAAGAATATAAACCACATGAATCGCTTGGTTTTTCGTAAACTGACAAGCTTTTTCTTTTCTTTTTTTTTTTAGGAATCATATGAGCCGCCAAGTTTGAATAAAATGGAATTTGATTTTTTTTTTTAAAGGAAATGCTAAGTTACTGGCCTTTACAAAACCTAAAAATCCAACAACCCCACGACCCCCCCCCCCCTCTCTCTCATTTTGCCATTCTGCTTTTATCTTTCTCTCCCTTCTTGTTATATATATGATCAAAAGAGTGGAAAAAAAGAAAAAAAGGACTAGTTCTTTATATTGTACTTCCAAAACCCATTGCTCCACTCAAATATTTTTATAAAAACTAAAATATTGTGATGCAACTCCAATTCCCAATCAATTAAAAATACAAGAATAAATTTCAGATTCAAGAATAAGGACTGATTTCATTTCAACTAAAGAAAAAATTACAAACTATACATATGCATTGTAAATTCAAGAACATCAAGAACAGTTTACCAAAAGAAATACAGAGAGAAGAAACATAGAGAAAGGTCGTAGAAAAGTAGAGTGAATAAGTTTCTAGTTTGCCAGGAATGGCTTACCATGCTTATTCCTATTTGATTTTAACAGTGTGGGTTATGTTACCAATCAAATAATTAACTAACAATTTAACTCAGCATAACAAACTTCCACACGTATCAAGCATGCAAGTTACTTATTATTTCTCACGTGATTCTTCTCTCACATGAGTAGCCTTCTGGGGGACTGTTGCTGACTTTTAACTAACCATACTTCATTATAGTCCTCAAACTTTGCATATTGAATCCCAACAATTTCTACAACCCTCACAAATCCATCAACTGCCTCACAGCTGCATCATATTGCTAGTCAACTGACTCAAAGCAAAACCACCTAACCATTCTTGATTTCTCATGCCCGTTTTGCTCTAGTCAAATCTTGATACATTTTAAAGAATTTTTTCGAAGATGTCCTCTTCACATGAAATATATATAAAAAACCCACATGCTTGAAACCATATCCTCCAGCTTACTCGAACAAGTTTCTCGCTTCACATTTGTTGAGATAAAGGAAGATTAGATAGAAATTCACAAGTTACGAGTATACTAAAAAAACCACGAATTTGCAATGAATCATTGGCTGAACCACTAAATCAGTGATTGGTCTTTTTTTTCAACGGTTCTAATACCATTGCTTCTTCCAAAAAATTTGACGACCCTAACAGTAATATATAATAACTTTCCAAATGAAGCAATCAAGAAAAATAAAGTAGGAATAGCTACAAATCGGTCCCTAACCTTTAAAACCTTGCTAATTTCTATCTAATCTTCCTTTATCTCAACAAATTCATCTCTCTCCAAATTTCTCATAAAATGACACATAATGGCTAGAAAACATGGAATGAAGTTGAATTTATTTAAAATGACTTCTGTAAGTAATGTCTTAACCCAGAACAAACATTGGAAGAGATTAACAAGATTTTGAAGATAAGAATTGATATGCTAATGAGGATATTGGTTGGGGACTGATTTGTAGTTAATAAAGCACGACGTAAATTGGTAGGACAGCGCTAATTACGAGAAAGAAAAAGACAAAAACGTGCATTCCTGATTCATCATCCTAGTTGGGGGAATAATTTTACAGCATATGGCTGCAAGTTGTAACGTGCTGTGGTGGCCGGGGGCCAATGCGTCTAAAATCAAAAGTTTACAATATATTTAAAAAATTCAAAAAGGAGAGGAAAAAGAAACAATACTTTTAAATTAATGTATAAATTATCAAAAATTAAAAGGAAAATAAAAACAGAAAAGGATTGTGGATAACGGATAATCCAAATCCATGTGGGTCTTATAATTCCATGAAACGGAAAATAAATAGAAAAAATAAAAAATAGCTCGAATAATTCTCTTAGCCGTCCTTCCCAACCAACAAAGCCACCGCTTCTCTTCACTAATTAAATTTCTCTTTTACAAACCCCATCCCTCTCCCCATTATCTTCTTTGTTCCTCTATAAATGGTCCATACGGCAGCCTATCAGAGGTCATAACCCTCTCTTTCTTTCCTTTCCTTCTACATACTCCAACCAGGCCAAAATGGCCCAAGATAAGCAAAGCTTGACTGAAACATCAGATTCTGGCAACCACATTTCCATTTTCAAGAAAAACAAGAGACTTTTCTTAGCCATTTTTGCTACTTTATTGCTAGTTGCCACTATAGTTGCCGTTGTCACTGGTGTTAATTCGCACAAGAATAGCAAAAATGAAGGTACTCATGCCATCCTCAAATCTTCATGCAGCTCCACACTATATCCTGAATTATGCTACTCAGCTATTGCCACTGTCCCTGGAGCCACTAGCAATTTAGCTAGCCAAAAAGACGTTATTGAACTTTCCATAAACCTCACTACCAAAGTTGTTCAACACAATTTTTTCACTGTAGAGAAGCTCATAGCCACCAGGAAACTCACCAAAAGAGAAAAGACTGCTCTCCATGATTGTTTGGAGACTATAGATGAGACTCTTGATGAGTTACACGAGGCTTTAGTAGATCTCAATGAGTACCCAAACAAGAAATCTCTTAAACAACATGCAGATGACCTCAAAACCCTGTTGAGTTCTGCCATAACCAACCAAGAAACATGCTTGGATGGTTTCTCTCATGAAGATGCAGATAAAAAGGTGCGAGAAGCTTTGTTGAAGGGTGAAAGTCATGTCGAAAAGATGTGTAGTAATGTATTGGCAATGATCAAGAACATGACAGACACTGACATTGCCAATGAGCTCAAGACCACGAACAGGAAGCTCAAGGAGGAGAAAGATGGTGATGAAAGTGTGTGGCCGGAGTGGATGTCAGTCGCAGACAGGAGGCTGTTGCAGTCATCATCCGTGACTCCAAATGTGGTGGTGGCGGCTGATGGAAGTGGGAATTATAAGACGGTATCAGCTGCAGTTGCTGCTGCGCCACAGAAAAGCAGCAAGCGGTACATAATTCGAATCAAGGCCGGCGTTTACAGGGAAAATGTGGAAGTACCGAAGAATCTGCATAACATAATGTTTCTGGGAGATGGAAGAAAAACAACTATCATTACAGGAAGTAGGAATGTGGTTGATGGTAGCACAACCTTCAACTCTGCCACAGTTGGTAAGTCCATCTTTCCCCTTTCCTTTAGCAATATTCTTGTATTTTTCTGTTTATTCATCTCCTTTTTCTTATTGCATCTGTTGTCCTTTACTTTAGTAATGCGTCACCTCACTTTCTCTATATCTTTTTCCACACACATCCATACACATATCCGAAGATGGGGTCCATTGTTGCTAAATTTAGGGAAGGAACGCGAACCTTCGTCATTATTGATGCAGATTTGGTTGAGAGCATGCATGTATGCATTTTCCATATTTGATCTTTATAATAATATTTCTAGTCCCGTAGCTCATCTGTTATCACTGCCCTCTTTTTGTGTGTAATCTTAGTATAATTTGTGAACTTTTTCTCCATTTTCTATTTTAAAAAATAAATCCGTAAAAGTTTTCCATATTTGATCTTTATAAAAATATAAAAATTAATAACTAATTACTAATGGAGAAAGTGTTCTGCAATGCCACTTGCTTCAGTTTCAACATGACATGACCATAAAAGTTTTCCCCAATTCCCACGACACAGCTATAGTTCTGGGGGTGGGTGGGATTATGCATTTTGGAAGAGCCTCATTTTCGCTGACTGTGATTGATTTTGCTGCATAAAACTGAGGGGTTGAAATTGATTTACGAGTTTTTCTTTCTCTAGCAATAAATTGATCTTTTCTTTTTTTTTTTCGAAAGAAAAGAAACGAAATTCTCCTGATTAAGATTTAAGATGGTTGCTCTGAATGTCATCCGTTATCTGACCTTCATCTCTAGGTCACTAGGCCCACTACATAAACAAGAGGACATGCTCACAGTCCTTCTTAGCCTAAAAATGATCACATTTAGCCTATGTCAAATCAGATGCATCAACTTCCAAACTTCCTTTATTTCTGTAACCATCTCTGCGCACATGCTTTGCTGAGGCAAGTCAATCAGCGATCAAGACAAAAATCAACATCTCCAATCCTTTTCTGATCTTTTTGAAAATTCTATATGCAAATTAGGAAGAGTATTGACCAAATGGTTGACGTGTCAAACCATGCATGTGCTTTTTCTGTCTTTTGCCCCATCATTAAAAAATCTGTCGATGAATTCCGATCTAATGGTGTTTTAGCACTCCAGGACTGCTGGCTTTTTAGGTCATGTCTCCTTCAGATTTGCCGTATCCATAATAAATTGTTGCATAAATAGGACCCATTTGGGGAGAATTTGGAGTTTCTTACTCGTTTAAATTGTTCTTTTGTAACCGAAAAATCATGTAGTTCAACGTAATATTTTTAACATTATAGCAACCGGTATTAGTGCGTCTTCTCTCTTTAAAAAGTCTCGTCCAAACCCTTTTTTTTTTTTTTTTTTTTTGAAAAAAAAAGAAACTCTAAGGCTAATAACATCATATTAATTTTCTTACTCCCAACAATATCATTCCAACTCGAATCTTAAGAGTGACTTCGAGAAATAATCTTTATGTGTTGATGACGATTTGAAATGAAGGATTTAATCTCCTGATCCGAAAAACAAATCCTTTGAACAAATCAGGCTATTCAAACTGTTAATTTGTCCGCTATGCGGCTAGTCTCTCCCTCTCCATCACCAGGACATTCGTTTGTTTTCTTTTTGATATTTTAAATGTGTGGAACAGTACTAATTTTAACAGATTTAAAGTTTTAAAAGCAGTTAGTACTTGCTAATCAAACATAGATATATGTCTAGCACTTTATAAAAATCAAATCTAAAGTCTAAGAGGAAGTGTCGTTTTGTGGTTCCTTTTTTTTTTTTTTTTAATCCAAGAAGTGCTTTACAGCTCTGTCAATTTCCAAGTAGCGAGATACCCAGCTACGTAGGCTTTTTGGACTTTTCGTTCGTCCACGTGATAACTTACGTCGTCCTTTTTTAATGGTCATTAGATGCTTGCACGATGCTTCGCATATCTTGTCGCGTGTATGTTTCCTTCAATTGTGGCGCCCTAAAATTATTATTTAACTCTTAACCGACGCTCACTTTGTATGTTTATGGACTATAGGGAATTGGCAATTACCTCACATCACAAGTTATCTTCTTAAATATTTTTATATGCGTATATATCATATCGCATGGCTTAATTTAATGCTACAAAACGTTAAACGTATGAAGTTTTGTCAATCTTTTTTACTATTAAAAATTTATCTGCTAGAGAAAGAGATAATTATATGTCTCGACCATTTGTGTTCGTTCAATTTGAAAAGGAAGTTGTTAGAGCTCTCAGTATATTATATGGAGCCTGTTTAAAGTCCTGCATTCAAATGCAGTCTTAAGACATGCTAGGGAATTATTGGATTTCGTCATTTCAGTTTGTGCTCTCGGCAACCTCCACAGCTATAAAACAATACCCTTTTACCATTGGGTTTTTCTCTTTTCGAAAAAGCTTTTGCTATATATGTGTTGAAACTAATTCAAATTTGAAATTTCGTGCTTTCTTCATCATTTCTTGTCCAACACGTCCTTGTTGGGTCTCTGTCCAATATGCCCCTTATAATGGCACTTTAATTTTTTTTTTTTTTTTAAAGTAGGCATGTGATTGATTTCAAGAAAAGACATACAGATGCATCTTGCCTGGCATGGATATCTTTTCTTGACAAAAAATAATTGGAAATTTCGTGCTTTCTTTCTCTCCATTCATTCTTGTAGCTGTGGACGCCAGAAGAGCACAAGTGTCAATGGTTAGACATTAATTGAAGTGGGTCCTGTTAGATGAGGAGGTTTGAAATTGAATCCCATAATTACTTTTATGCCCCACCTGATTGAACCAATTGACTGATATCTGTACTTTTATCTTATTTACTCGTTACTAATTTATTGAGCTGAAAACGTAGCGAATCTTAAGTTTGGACATCATTGAGTCTTTGGTAATAAAAGACTAATATAAGCAGTTAAAGCATTAATTTCTTTAACTTATCGCTTTCCTTTCACAAAAAAAGAAAAAAAGAAAAAAGAAAAAATGAAAAAGGGTGCTTCTTTCCATTGCTCACTCCTAAATGAGGCAGCTAGAAGCTTTAAATATATTAATTATAGAAGCACATGGATGTGTAGTCAATTAAATTTTTAGTCATCGAAATACTTGTTTATATGATAGTTAATTACTTGAATTCGGATGTGCCTCATGTGCTGGAGCGTGCTAGATTTTGTCTTTTATATCTTTTGATATTTATATAATAGGGAGTATTATTTACCTGTGAAATATATATGTAGCTGGGTTGTTGAGCTAAATTTTCCTTAACATTGCAGCTGCGGTGGGGCAAGGGTTTCTAGCCAGAGGCATAACCTTCGAAAACACAGCTGGTCCCTCCAAGCACCAAGCGGTGGCACTAAGGGTCGGGTCTGACCTTTCAGCATTTTACGAATGTGACATGCTAGCCTACCAAGACACCCTCTATGTCCACTCAAATCGTCAGTTTTTCATTAACTGCTTAATAGCCGGCACGGTTGACTTTATTTTTGGCAACGCCGCCGTTGTTCTCCAAGATTGTGACATCCATGCTCGACGCCCCAATTCCGGCCAAAAAAACATGTTAACAGCCCAAGGCAGGACTGATCCTAATCAAAACACTGGCATTGTAATTCAGAAGAGTAGGATTGGTGCCACTTCTGATTTACTACCTGTTAGGAGCAGTTTCCCAACATATCTTGGTAGACCCTGGAAGGAGTACTCAAGGACTGTTATCATGCAGTCATCTATAACTGATGTAATACACCCAGCCGGGTGGCACGAGTGGGCTGGCAGTTTTGCGCTGAACACATTATTTTACGCAGAGCATCAGAACTCTGGGGCAGGTGCTGGAACTTCTAAAAGGGTCACTTGGAAAGGATACAAAGTGATTGCAAGTGCAACTGAGGCTCAGAGTTTTACCCCTGGCAATTTCATTGCTGGCGGTAGCTGGTTGAGATCTACTACATTCCCATTCTCTCTTGGTTTGTAAACTATGTCTTCGTTTTGGTGTGACCATGTTTCTGTACTACTAGCAGGGTTGAATGAGCGCCTGATGCGGCCAATGAATGCTTCAATTAATTAAAACTCAATAAGAGCAGGTGTTTTCACATATGCTAGGGAAATGATGTTGTCGACATAAACTGTCAAATAGAATGATTTTCTTTAATAATTCTTTTATTAATCATTGACCATGAAATTTCATCCATCAGTGCATCAGCTGGTAAAATAAATTGTTTTCTTAAAAAAAAATTAAATTAAATTAATATTCCTATAAAAATAGTAATTGTAGATATGAATTAAGGGTGAGCAAACTGACCGGAATGGCTGCATTATTTGATTGAACCGAGCTGAAAATTTGCAATTATAAATACTGAATTTATACGGGATGAAAATACAGCACACCCTTGATGGATGCCACCTAAATGGGTACGATTATGGGGCCACTATCTATGATATCAATATAGCAGCCAAAAAACAGATGCAATTTTAAATGTGTTTTATTATTAAGATAGATGGATTGCGTCTGTGTCAATCTGTTTAAATTCTATTCAATAATATTTTGTCATTTATTAAAAAATCAATATATAAATTGGATCTTTTATGCCACATATACATATAAAAAACAGAAAAAAAATTAAAAATTGAAACATTTATATCAAGTTGAAAAAAGAAAAAACATGAGAAATTTTTTTAACTAAAAACTTTGAATCACAATTTTTTTAGGATAAGTTTACTGTAATATATTTTTACTTAAACAAATTAAAAGCTCATATTTTAAGTTTCAATTTAAGATGCATATTCAATATTTTTCGGTAAAATGTAAAAGTAAAATATAATAATAATAATAAAAAAAAGAAAATCATCTCTTAAACTAAATCAAACCACGTTAATGTCTTTCAAATTATTCAAAAGTTTATGATGACATAGGAGTTGAATTATTTATTATTTGAATTCTTATAACTTTTTAATTAAGCTTTTTTCTTAATAAAATTACAACAAGTGATACAATAGTATTTCATTAAAATCGACAATAATTAAGAGTTTTAAGTTGATATTTATCAAGAAAAGAAATTCTATTATATATTTTTTTAGAAATTTATATTACTTCTTTGTTTTAGGTTTAGGATAGTAAATTTATAAATTCAATTTTAATAACAATAAAAAAGCATTTATACCAAGTTGAAAAAAATGGTACAAATAATATATAAAATTTAGGTTAAGCATTTTGAATGAGTATGATATCTATTGTTATACTTGTTTAAACAAAATAAGAACAAAACAAATAAACATATAATGATAGTAAGGCTTACAAAATCATAAACCTTAAACTTTTTAAGTATTTTATCGCATTCTTTCAATTTTGAATAGAAATTCATGAACTAAACTTCTAGTAACAATAGTTGTAAATGTGAGTTTTTTCTGCTTCAATTCCAACCAAAGATAACATAACATGTGGTGGAGCATGACAATTATACGGAATGTGCTATGTAGGATTTCACATAGGCTTCACGTAGCTTATTAATAGAAAATAAATCCCTAAACCCTTCCTCCTTTTTCAATCAACCAAGAGGGATTGTTCATCTTCTCCTAAAAAATAAAACTCTAGTCGCCACCTAGACAACAATAGTTGAACCCCTCTTGCTAGCCACGATCT